GTAAAAAATTGTATTTCGTTTCCGTCTTAAATAACTGCAGATGGAAAATGCTTCGCTGGAAAATAAGCATTTAAGTAATGATCCACTGCTCTTGTAAACATCTGTCATATATTCGCTACATTTTAAATATGTCATTATTTGAAAGATTATGTATTGATAATGACAGCAAACCACCAAGAAGGACGGACTACATTCAACAGGAGTACCTGTATACACAAGAGCAAGCTATCTGAAAGGGATGCCCGGGTGCTAACGCAGATTGTATCCCAAAAAACATAAAAAAAAAAAAAAAAACTGCTGCCCAACTTAAGTGGAGAATTAAATGTGAGCTTCAACTATAATGTCTAAACGTCAGGAGCTTAACAGGGTCAATATACATGGCCAGGCTGCTATAGTCAAACCCTTGGTCACTTGTGCCAATGCCAAACATTGGTTTCAGTGGTGCAGGGAAAGAAAATATTTGTGGGCAATGTGAAACATGTATTGTTTTATGATGAGTTCACCTACACTGGAAATGTGGAGATAAATCCCCCACATCCAAGAGAGTTACCGTGTGGAGAAGCCCCAAAGAAGTGACCACCAAGACTGTTGTATGCTCCGAGTGTAGAATGAAGGTGGAACAGTGATGGATTAGGCTACAACATCATGGCATTTCCTAGGCCCAGTACTTGTGCTAGACGTGTGCATCACTGCCAAGGACTACCGAACCATTCTGGAGGACCATGTGCACCCGATGGTTCAAACAGTGTATCCTGAAGGCAATGTCATGTTATAGGTTGAAATAGCCCCAAAAACATACAGCAAGACTGATAACAGAGTGCTTTGGTGAACATGAAAGTGAAGTTAAACATCTCCCATGGCCTGCACAGTCATCAGATTTAATTATTATTGAGCCACTTCGGGGTATTTTTGAGGGACGAGTAAGGAAAAGTTTTTCTCCACCAGTATCACGTAGTGATTTTTGCAATTTCCTTAACTGATTTGTGTTATGAGAACAGTGCAGTGTAGGATGTTACATAAAATGCACCAAAAACAATGATCCAAATGAAGGAATGAATGACCAACTATTTCTTTCTGCATTATCTGCTGAAGAGGGGGCTGTCAGAATGATTTTAACAAAGTCGTGTGAGATTAAGGGTCACACATTGATGTCTAATTTAGCGATTTGGGTCACCAGAGGCCTGCTGTCTGCTCTTTGTGCACCGCTCCACTCAAATGAGACATCTGATTCATGCAGCTATGACCATGCCATGGCTGTCCTCAATACCCAATGCCGTTTACTGCCCCATTTCATTGAAGTTCACTTTGAGAGGGAGGGAGAGCAGGGGGCATTAAAATCACTAAGAGGATTATGGTCTGAGAGGAAGGATTTTTTTTCTGCTTAGTAATATCTGCGCGTGGGCACAAGTGCATCTGCAGTATCACGACTGAGAACAGCTGATGGGTGGTGGGCTGAACAGGCCCTCCAGTAATTTAGTTTCTGTGTCACGATGAGGGGGTGTGATGAGCTTTTATGCTTCAGCATGCAGCAATGGCAGATTTTTCTTGATTTTTAATCCTTCATTACTGACTGCACTACGCCAGGATTAAAAGGGGGTAGTAACCAATGGACAATATATAATGACTGCAAATTGCAGCATGTGAACATATATTATATTATATTATTATATTATGTTATATTATATTATATTATATTATATTATATTATATTATAAATAGTCTAGACTAGACAATGTTATTAATATACATAGTTGCAGTGCTCAGCAAAGTTGAGTAAACCACATTTTAAAATTAATATTTTATATCCATTTCTCATTAAATAGCATTTAAACAAAACAGATTCATTAAACAGCTATTTTAGTCACCGAACATTTTTTGAAATTGAAAGATAACCCAATTTAATTTAAGCAAAATATTGCAAAAAAAAAAAAAAAAAAAATTGCAACCTACAACATTTAAAAAAAATTGTTTCCCTCTATTTAATTTGTATTTAATATTTTTCTATAACATATACATTTGGGTGTACTGGTTTTTGGGCCGTTATCGTAAGTTATTGTATTAGATCAGCTCTAGATTTGACTTTAATATACAAATATTATTTTGTAGAGCTTTCGCTAAAAAAATATTAATTTAAAAGATAGATTTGTGAAGGGTGTACTTATATATGCCGAGCACTGTATATATTTCAAACAACATTTTAAGGACACAATTATTACCCCCTTTAAGCTATATATGTTTTTTCTCTTTGATAGTCTGTAGAACAAACAATCATTGTACAATAACTTGCCTAATTACCCTAACCTGTCTAGTTAACCTAATTAACCTAGTTGAGCCTTTAAGTGTCACTTTAAGCTGTATCGAAGTGTCTTGAAAAATATCTAGTAAAATATTATTTACTGTCATCATGGCAAAGATAAAATAAACCAGTTATTAGAAATGAGTTAAATAAAACGATTATGTTTAGAAATGTGTTAAAAAAAACTTCTCTTCGTTAAACAGAAATTGGGGGAAAAATAAATAGGGGGCTAATAATATTCTGTTTAATTAAATTCCTGTGAATAAGGGTTCAAAAACAAGTTGTTGACTCAATGTAAGAAGTATTAGTAAATGTATTTAGTTTTACATGGTCACTCATGTTTGGTAAAATTCATGTGTAAGCAAAATTGCTTGGGGAAATGTGCTAAATCACCATTTTTTTTCTGAAACCCCGTCATCCATATTGACCAAGTGATTTTATAAGTCAAATGTCATAATGCAGATGATCATCAGTGGATAATTTCCACAGTTCCTTTTTTTTAGCTTCCTGGAAATTCTAAATAACTCTTTCACGACATGTTCAGGGTTTCCTTTTACAGTGATTTTCTACAGTTCCTATTTAGTTAAGTAAAGTCTTTGAAGCTACATTTTTGACCAAGTAATTTTATCAGTATATAAGCCAGCCTAGCAGACATATTTAGTATAGGCGAAGAAAAAAAAATGTCTATGAAATAAAGTAATTACATTAATTAGACATCTGGAGATAATCCATAAAAACGATAATCCATAAAATTGTATCAATTGTATCAAAAACATTGTAATTATATAAAGCATATATCAATACAAATCCATTAAACCAACTGTTGATCCATATTATACATACAGGAAGCCATTAAATCTGGAATCGTGTCCTGTGTATTAACATTTGGCTTTGAAAACACTGTAATCCTCTGGCTCCACCGAGACACTATAATCTGAAAAAAAGATTTATTTCTATTTATACGTACATTATAATGAGTGTCGTCTTTATCTCTCAATTGGATGTAAGGATTGCATAACCACCAACATCACAATTTTTGACCCCATCACAGAGGAGAGCAAAGACAGAAAAATATCGCCCCCTACTGGAAAGCTGTTTCTATTACAAGGCTTGAAAAGTAGGACAATGGATTGGCCATGTGTTCAATGTAAATATGATGGCACAAGCCATTTCCAGTTACAACAAAATAAAGGGTTTGCTTTACATATATGTACACATTTTCTATTAAACGTATATGGATTCATTCAAACACTTAATAGCATTTGCCCTAATAATGCCTGCCTGCATGTTATGCAACTGTTGGATTTAATATTAAATAGGTTACCTTCACTTTTTGGTGAAATCAGGGCTTAGGGATTTCACGCAAGTTTAAAAATGCAAAAAAGTTTTAGTTTTTTTTTTTTTTTTTTTTTTTAGCACTCATTCGTTTTTGAATACACACAGGAGGTTCAAGTCAGGGTTTTTAATGTGTCCTGATCCTGAATGTGTCTATGGTTTTATAATCATCTCAGTGTGTGTGAGTGACCCATGTCAAATGAATTAAACAAATATAAAACAGCGACTAAGCTGGCTAGAACTACCGGCGTGTATTTAATTATTTGGAGTCACCCATTCTAGCCAGAGACAGAATTAAATATTCAAACATATGGAGGCCGAGAGTGCTTAATATATTACAATTTCAGGAAAAAAAAAACAACACTTAATTAATAAAATACAAAAAAACACGTATACATACACGTAAGAAAAGATATTTATCCGTTTGACAGCATACGTACTGCAAATCCTCACAACACTAACTTTTTAATGTGTTTGACTTGTAAAGATTTGTAGCACGTATGCTGTCCAATGAATGAATATATTTTCTTAATTTGCTGGCGTTTTTTGTAATTGCATGCGTTTTCTCAAATCAAAGCTCTCTCGGTCATATACTTTTAGAGTAAAATAAAGAAGACGCATCCTCTTTTAATATATATAGATGCAATTATTATTACCACCCACTTGTCTTACCCAACTTAAAATGCAATCATGTTTCATTAGGAGTGATTATTGCGTAATTAAATAGAGGGTTGTGAATTGGCATGATATTTCAGTGAAGGGGGAAAAGCTAAAAGTTTTAGTTTTCAAATCAGGCCTTGTTACATTATAATTGAAATCATTAATGCCATCAACCATGTAGATAAACAAAAAGTAATTTACATTTTCTAAGATTAAGAAATTACAAATATTTGATCCACACATAATTCAGCTAAAGGCCACAACACAAATAGTCTCCACAACGTATTCACATCTTGAGCACTAATGGGAATAATACTAATACAAATAAAAATAGAATACTTTGTATTTTGAGTATTTTAGTTTTCATAAATGTGTGAAATGAACCCATATTGAGTAGTCTCACATGATTAAAGTGATATATTTTCCATTGTTATAAGATGCAGACATATTTTTAAATTCAAATCAGCATTCTTTACTCGCACTACTCATAGGGGATTAGATAAAAATAAAAACTTTTTTTTCATTATATTTTTGGAACTTTTGGAATTTTTGACTATATTGAAAGAAGTGGAAATTTTCCCACATGCAGCTGAAAAAGTTGGTGCCCTTTTTTCAGTTAAACCATTGTTGGGAAGTTATACCCGACTATACTTCTCGTTTTACATGAAGTTCCTCTTTTTTAATACCTATATAGCTGACTGAAGAAAAGACATTATTCTTTTCTGTCCTGTAGAAAATGGAGAGTTTTTTTGTTTTTTACATGTCATTTTACTCTATTCTTTTTCACTTTTTAGTCTTTAATGAAGCAACACCATGGGCGAGAAGACATTGTCAACAGGTACAATTATGGTATTAATGTCGAATGTTAAATTAAGATACTGTTAATGTTTTATTTTGTTTCATTGTGTGTTTCAGATAACTAAAGGTTACGATTGTAATGATATGGACCTACAATCAATCCCAGATGAGATACCAAATTCTGTTCAAATTTTGCAATTCAGCTTCAATTATCTGCCTGCGCTGTACAATTCCACCTTTCAGAGGCTAAAAAGCTTACGTTCTTTAGATGTGACAAGGTGAGCAAAGCTAAATAACCCATAAAGCTGTGTACAACTGTGCATGAATAATAATAATAATAATCTTTTCCCCCCCACACACTAACTCACAGATGCAGCATCACTTTCATATATGAAGATGTGTTTACATATCAGCCTCACTTGGAGGTCCTTCTCCTAACTGGAAACCCTCTTGTGTTCATCGCAAGTACAGCTTTCTCTGGACCACTAGCATTGAAATATCTAAGCCTAGTTCAGTCAAAGATCAAACAACTGTCAGACATCCCATCTGAAAATCTTGCTTATTTAGAGGTTTTGGACCTCAGGGGAAGTAACATTCGCTCATTAAATGGACTAAGCAATTTTCGCTGGCAAAATTTGAAGAGCTTGCAGCTTGACTTAAACTTTATTGACCGGATAAGTTTTAATGACCTACAACCATTCAGCAACCTGGCTGGGGTGAGCATCAGCTTCAAAGGAAATGATTTCATCTATATAGAACCCGGTGCTTTTCATTCACTGAATCTAAGTAGTCTTGATTTTAGTGGCTGCTTAAATAAGATGAACATCTCATCCCTCCTGAAAGGTCTTGAAGGAATTAAAACCAACAGACTGAACCTGGGACTGTATGAAACTGATTCAAACGTATACATAGCATCAGCTGCGCTACAATCTTTTTGCAACATCTTCGTAAGTGATCTGGATTTCCAGCTTCAGCATTTCTTAGACCTAAATAATAGTACTTTTCATTGCCTTGAAGGACTTAAAAAGCTTGACCTTACTAGAGCTCATCTGAATGCATTGCCCTTGAACACAACTGGCTTGTCCACATTGTCACATCTTATTCTAGATGAGAACCAATTTAAAGATGTCTGCCAGAGCAACACTAGAAATTTCCCCATGCTTACACACTTATCCATAAGTGGAAATTTGAAGAAACTTACTTTCAGCAATAGATGCTTGGACAGTCTTGGACTGTTAGAGGAGCTGGACCTTAGTGTTAGTTTAGTAAACCCCAGAGAACCTTGTTGTAATAACCAACTGTTTGGGCTTGGCGAATTGAAGCTTCTCAATCTAAGCTATGGGTCACCAATGTTCTGGAGTTCAAAGCCTTTCAACGTGACTCCAAAATTAGAGCACTTAGACTTCAGCCATTCAGTTTACACTCTACTGAACGATAGCTCACCTTTCAGTAATCTGCAGAGTCTCAGAACTCTAAATCTTTCTTGGTCAAATACAGATCTGACAAACGTGCACCTTTTCGTTGGCTTGAAGGCCTTGCAACATCTCAATTTGAGGGGGAACGCCATTCAAGGAGAGGTTCTCACTCAAACGGAACTCTTTAAATGTGTGCCTCTTTTGGAGACCTTAGTTTTGTCTGCATGCAAAATAACTTCATTTGATGAGAACTTGTTTAAAGGTCTTAGACATCTCAATCATATAGACCTGAGTGAAAACAAGTTTGTCAAACTGAGCACCTCTGGATTTTACTCGCTTGATTTTCTCAAACTTAACTTCGCCAGAAATGATATTACAACTGTGGATGTTGCAAGTGTTGCGGATTTGGGAGAAGAGGGTTCTGTTGATCTGAGCTACAATCCCCTGGTTTGCAACTGTAGCAACTTTGAGTTCATCCACTGGGTTAAGAAAAATAAAGTCAAAGTAAAGCATTTAATGGAGACATTTTGTAATGGGACAGGGACAAGGATTATTGATGCTAAACTGCAATGTGACCTTCCTGTAGGTGTACTTGTGTTTTGCGCAGTTCTAGCTGCAGTTCTACTTGCATCTGCAATCTTCTTGCTCATAAGGAGAGTAAGGAAATATTCTATATACACAAACCTGTAAATTCATAAGATTTATTTGGTCTCCCTCCAAATGCAAACGTATATCATTCTATTTTAATAATATTGTATAACATTGATATATTGAGCCAATGTTGATTTTGATTTAGTAGTGTAATATGTTGTAACTGAGAAAATAAATGGTTCTAAAAACGTGAATCTGTTCAACAAAAATTATGTTGTGGTTTTTTTTTTTTTTTTTAAAGATCATTAAGAATGTGTAAGTAAAATGACAATGGTCTGTTCTGTAGACTTGGAAAAAAAATAGCTTAAAAGGGGCTATTAATTTTGACCCTAAAATGTTTTTTAAAAAATTCAAAACTGCCTTTATTTTAGCCAAAAAAAAAGAAATAAGACTTCCTCCAGAAGAAAACAATATTATCAGACATACTGTGAAAATGTCCTCTGCTAAATATCACTTAGGAAATATTAAATAATAAGAAATTATTAACTCACCTTTATCCAGTTTTGTGACTTTATCTAAAGCGAGGACTATTAATGCTTTCTAAATCTTTTATAAATCCCAATATCCGTCTCAAATGAACTATAGATCTTTGCAATTTTTTGTACAAATATTTATTTACTGTAACATGTAAACATTGCTGAATAACAAGTCAAAATATGACATTTTTCATGGATGAATTTAATAAATCATATATTAAAATACAAAGTAATTATTCATATATGTCTGGATAATAAGATATATTATGTTAATGTTAATAGTTTACTATGTATTATAAGTTTTGATTTACTTATCTGTTCTGGATGTTCTTTAAAAACACCAACTATTCTTAAATAACTAGTTTGTAAATAATGCAATACTTAATTTATTATTAAAAAGAAATCATCAACAAAGTATGAAAACGCAATGATTAAGCACATTATGTGCTTATGAATCAAGAATACAACCTTTGTATCATCTATTAATGTAGATCTAATGCTAAACAAATACTGTTTTAACTATTTGTTGATGCTTAATAATTGATTCAGTGTGTATTTATTAGTCTTAGCATTTTTTCTTTTATGATGTATATTATTACAATATTACATAAGATTAATATTAAGTTATATAGTAAATTCCTTACTACAAATGTATCAAAACTTTTTTTTTTTTTTTTGCTAAAGATTTTCACAACTATAATAGGGTCACAACTATAATAATGCTTTATTAAAACAGTATAAAGCACACTTTGCTTATTTTGTCTTTCTCTGTAAATGTGTAGTATTGTTAAATATGCCAGCTTATTTTTTTATTATTGGAAATGATATGTAATTGGTTGATTTAACTCTTGTCTGTGATTATTTAGCTTGAGACTTAAAAGTAAAACAATTTCTAATCAAAAAGTATTAAAATAAATACAGCAAAATGTAATTTTGACATGCCTTTTTATTTTCAGTATTATACAATTTCAGAAGTATAAATATCTGTATAGTTTACAACATCTATGACATCCATAGAGCTTTTCTGTGGGTTATGTACAAAACTCAGAACCACATCTCTTATTGCACAGATCCTAAAAGACGATAAGCAGAGTTATCTACACAAACACTGTTTTCACACATAGAGAGAGGAAAGGAAACTTCCAGAAACAAGCAAGAACATACTGAACTGGAAAGACAAACAATAGGTTACCACAACAATGGCAAATGTACATTAAGAGGAACTCACACACTCACTCGCGCTCTCTCTCTCTCTCTCTCTCTCTCTCTCTCTTAGACACACACATACACGCACGCACGCACGCACGCACAGAAGAAAGAGAGATCACAGTACAACTGCCTGTGACTTAGCACATCGATTTGGCAAGTAACACAAATTTACAAAATATACATCCATGAAGTAGTTGTAAACAAACATTTAATGTGCTTTTTTTTTAAGGATTCAAACATTAATTCTCAGAAAGGGAATGGAGAAGGCTTAAAAACAATTGTCTGGGGTTAATGCATGGCAATACTATTGATATTTGAGAACAGACGATGCATATATCCTATAAAACATTCACATCTTATCATTAAAGTTAACGCTATTTTTAGAGTCTCTTCCCCCAAATCCCAATGTGTATAGTGTTTTTAATCTTAAGGTGCTTGCATCTCTTCACAACTACATTTGTAAAGTCTATGAGGAACCAAAACTTCAGTCTGCTAATACAATTTAAAATCTCTACAATCAGTTTGAATAGATTCTCTTTATATGGTGCATTTTGGTTCTTCTGCACATGTGTGTCCAGTTCCTATATATGCTTTGTTTACATAAAACATTAACACTTTAACATCATACTGTAATATAGCCTAGATGTTTCACAATATAAGGATACTGAAATAGGCCTAGATGTACAGTCGCTTTGCTTTAAGTTGGTATGCGATGTATACATACCAGTAGAGCTATAGCATATTTAAATAGAAGACCAAATATCAGAAGACGCAACATTCACCCGCTCTTCTTTTTTGATGCTGACCTTCACAAAGCAACATTAAATTAAGCCAAACTAATGTTTGGTCTTGAAGGAAAGAGATAGGTCTTGAAGGTAATTCTTTTTCCTACTGCATGATTAGAGACATAATATTAATAGCACATATGACATAAGTACAGTATTACACAATCCCCATTTGAAAGTGTGGTATTTTGCACATGAAGATGTTAGAAACTGATTGGACATGATGAACGGACATGCATTGAAGCTCTTGACATTTACCACAAGCCCTGACAAGCCACAAGTGCTGCTAAAGCACATTTGATTATCCCTGTTTAAGCCCTTTTAACTAAACCAGGGGAAGTACATCATGTTCCTGTATGCAGAATGGTAGCCTTAAAAGCTTGTCTTTTTTTTTTTTTTTTTTTTTTTTTTGCATTTCTGAAAAACAGATTGTATATAATCTACACATTACCAAACTTTAATCATGGGGGTAATCCTCCAGCTTCTGAAATTAGCCTTTCACATAATGTGCTACATCTGCCTTATCCCTGTTTTTATGGTAATGCGCAATTTCGACTACAATAAACATTCAGAGAGTAATTCTGCTGTCAGCAAATGTGTGGTTAACCCCTATATACCTCAGTGAAACTTCAAGTACACCTCAGATTATTCTCCTAGTTTCTAGTTCAGCGCAAAAAACTGAGCAGATGACATCACTAGAAGACTAACATTGAGCACAGTATACAAACATATGACATAGCAAAATATATACATATAAAACATACAACACACATTTCCACCAACCCCTCTGTACAATTAATGCTGCTGTATTTACAATATATTGCATAAAATGAATTAGAAATGTATGTGAAAGGAATGTGAATTCTGCCATGACCTGCTAAGAACAGCAAGTCATATTCCCCCCAAAAGACTCCTTCCACTACGAATCCAGAACCATTAGATGATTCCAATATAAAATAGTTCCAGGTGAGAAGCACAGGACAAAGTGCTTTCTATCTGTGCGCCACTACCCAAAACAAAACTTTGCTTATAAGGTCAAAAAAAAAAAAAAAAGTAATACAATTGTAGTGATCTATTTTGCTTGCAGAGTGTGTGCCACATTAATAGCACCATTGCTACATTTTCTGTCCTAGTGTTTTTTGAATGCATCAAAAACCAGTATAATACATGATTACGCTAGCTTGAATGAGTGAGAAACTTTTTTTTAACACAGTCAGTAATTGCGCACCTTTAGCTATAACTTAAAAGTGCTTTTTGTTTGGTACAATTACACTTATCCAGGATTGGCACAGTTCATTTAAACCTTAAAAAGGCATCTACACTCCGTCTCCACAATTATTGCACACACCACTCATTATATCACACTGAAACACAACACAATGACTAATTTTGGCGCTTTGCAAGATCTAAAACGTGACAACAGCAGCAAAACAAGTCACATTCAGCCTAGACTTTTTTGACATAGTATTAACAGAACATTACCGATCACAACACAAAGAAATTTATCTCTCTGGTTTCTCATGAAAACCCAAAGTAACAGCTTTATCGGTCCTCAGATAGGAAGGCTTAATGATATTACACACAGACAAAAATGATGTTTACATCCTTACAGTCTTATTAAATGCAACACGCTGAGCAAAGACAATACAATACATCACTTTTTACAAGCTGAACCACGTGCCGAATCCTTGGTTTGTTTAGAACGGACTGAATCTTTTTCAAATGTAGTACTGTCCTTTGCCAAAGGCATGCCTCTTGATGACTCTTTACGGTTGGTTTTTGGTGCAGAAGATATCTCTTGAGTAGATTCCTTTCTCTTCTTTTCTGCTTGCTCTTTTCGATTGGATGAAATCTGTTTGTCAGCTACCTTTGACTCACTCGCAACATGTTTAGGGTCAGGACTATACACAGTTGTTGTAGTCATCCCTACAGAATCACCTGTGATGGACACCTTGGGGGACTCTGATTTTGGATAGTCAATTTTGGACTTCACTGGTTCCTTTGAGGAAGGTCCAAGTAATTCAACTAAAGCCCCACTGCCATTACCAAGAGGACACCCACTAGACAAATGGATTTTAACAGCTGGTACAGGTAACACCGGCACAGATGTACCTGTGCGGGTTTCTTTCTGATGTTGTGATTTTGGCGCAGGCAAGACTGATACTCTTGGGTCCTTTAGTTTTACCGTATTGTCTTTCACAGTGGGCTGTGGCTGTGTCTTATTTTCCTGCTGTCCCTTATCCTCAACTGCCTTCCCAATAGATTGTGTGACCAGTGGAGAGTCTACTCTGGGCTTGTTTTTGGAACTCAAAGGGGTTTGTTTCAATATACTACTACCAGACAACTGAGTTTGTTTTATTGCAGACTGTGCTGGACTTGTCTGTGTTGTGGGCATGTCCATAACTTGCTTATTGACCTTCTGGGTGTCTATGTCATGTACATTCTTTGTTTTAATGTTTTCTTCTGTTTTAACTGGGGATTCCAAATGCACAGTGTCTTTTGTTGAAGAGCTGCTACTTTTAGTCTTTGGTGGGCTTGCACTTGTGTCCTTTGATTTGATATTCATATTTACTTGGTTTCTGAGAATGGCTTCCTGCCTTTCACTGCTTTTTGAAACTTCAGCTTTGACCAAAGAATTTTGGTTAGGGGCAGAGCCAATATATTCAGTCTTACTGCACTTAAAGTCCTTTTTAGAAGCCATTTTATCTCCGCATGCTGGCACATTTTTAAGATCTTTCAACGTTAAATTGGATTGACTAATTCCCTGCTCATCATTTAACTCAGCTGCATGTTGTTTTTTGTTTAAGCCCTGTTGAGAGTCTTGCGTTTGTCCACTAAAATCTCTGCTACAACTTGAAACACAAGCATTATCTGTTCTGTCTGAGATTTGCTTAGAGAGTTGAGCTGAAATATGTGCTGTCTGTCCATTTGTAGAACCAAAAGTGCTTGAAAGTTTGGCACATGTCTGGTCAGGTTGGATGGAATTTGTTTTTTCTTCAGCCAACCCAGCAAGTTGTAGATTGGTGCTTGAACAGGTTTGGGATTTTGATTCAGCAGCAGTCATGTCCTTCATTGGGGAAGTGCTGGTGGATGAAATGGATTTTCTTTGAAGAGTAATAAGAGGGGTCTCAAGTGCCTCCTGTGGTTCTGAGAACGAAGACACAATGGAATCTAAAAATTGACTCTGCTTGATGGGTGATGTTTCTTTGATATTTACCTCAGGTTTGGCCTGCCCTAGGCCTATAGCTAAGGTTGATGTACAATTAACTTTGTCCTTAAGTGCAGACTCTATGTTTTTACCAGGGCTTTTTATTGTGCTAGATGTTTTACTTGCCTTCAAATCTTGAAGACTCTCTGGATTATGGTCAAGAGAGTCTTTTGTGTCACTAGCCCTTATCTTGGTTGCAGCCAAGGTTGGACTTGATGTTGCGACTGGACTGCTTATAACATATTTCTCTGGAAGGATCTGATTTTTTAGAGCAGAAGTATTTGTTGATTTATTTTTATTTATGTTATCCTTATCAGCAGATAACGGTGAACTGGATGGATTGCTTGGTTTCTCACACAGTTCGCTCTTATTTTTAAAAGAATTCGCTTCTGAGTTTTTCTGGAATTTTGAGTTGGACTGTGAAATAACAACAGGAGACACCAGGGATTTGTCATGTTCATTGGTTTTAGAAAGAGTTTCGGTATGCTTAGATGTCTCCTCTATGTTTTCCATGTCATCCTCCTGGTCTTCATTGCTGACTTCCCTGATCGAGGGTGTTTTCCCACACACAAAGTGAGTGCTGTGTCGTGCCGCCCTCATCTCCTGAGCCGTTTTCAACTTACTCTCTGATTTCACAGTTGTGTCTATAGAGTCCACTTTAGTAATCTGTAACTTCATTCCTTCATTAATTTTATTTCTCTCATGTGGGGGCTCATTGCAAACAAGACTTACTGTACAGTCTTTATTGGAATTTGACTCCTCTTTTGTAATGGTTTTACTGCTCAAATACACATTGTCCTTGTGGTTAAATGCCCCTACCTGTGAACCTTTCACTTTCTCAGCATTTTTATCTTGAATTGACTGTTTTGCACAAATTTCATTTGCCAAAACAGCACTTTCACCTGCCATTTTGGAAAGACATGTGTCAGTCTTGGATACCCGTGGCCCGGAAAGTAGACCAATGTCCAAGGTGCCCTCTAGAGGCTTTAAAGAGGACACAAGGCGTCCCTCCAATTTGTACTCAGAAGAGGTCTTCCTGATAGAAACATCAGAAGAAATCATTTGGAGTTTTTCTACAGCACTCTCTCCTCGTCCACTGAAAAGTTTAGGGGCCAGTGTTTCAGAAGTGACATGGATGTTGCACATGCCTCCTTTTACATGTTCTAAAGCCAACGCAGAATCCAGCTGAAGGCTTTTGGACCTGGTTGTGTTAAAATGAATACTGTCATGAACCCCAGAGGATATTCGACACAAGGAGTCCTCTCTCTCTTCAAAGGACTGCCTCTTTCGGACAAACTCCATTTTGGAAGCTTTGAAATCTAGCCTCTCTGGCTTGTTACCTTCCTTCATTGACCAAGACATCTGTCGCTCTGCTTGACATGAAGGTGACCTAATATTCTCACTTAAAAAGGATGCACAATCACCAGTAGTGACTGACTCTGCAATGCTCTCACAGACTCTTGGATTTAGTTTTTTGTAGAGGACATCTTTTAAACTAGCATTTGTAGATTTGTCCAAGGATCCAGATTCTAAAATTTGGGGTCTCACACTTGGACGTGTTAGCACACCCCATTCCTTATCTTCAGCAGTAGGACCTTCCACATCTTGCACAGTGTCTTGTTTTGGCATGGACTCTCGTCTCTCAGGCCAGTCCTGCCTCTTCACCACCACTTTGGCCTTTAGCTTCTCCTTGTCGAGCTCCTCTACTGACTCCTGTCGGCCAACTTTGCGCGTCACAGGCCGCTTTAGGCAACCCTGCTCAGCAGGCCTCACCCGGGTAATGGTGGGCGGATCACAAGAAGTGCTCTCCTCTATGCAAGGTTGGACATTTTCCCCTTTAGATGAAGCCTCCCCTTGAGATTCCTCTTGGGTGACCTCCAAACTGTGCTTTCGAGTGCATAAATGTTTTTTGTCTCCAGCATAAGAGGGGGACAGTTTTTCCTCAGATTGGACACGCTTCAATAGTGGTGATCGAGGAGGCTCAGCACTTTTAGGTCGAACCATATGGCGTACAATAGTGGGGGGTGAGTGCATTTTGGCAGGGAAGGGCTGAGAAGTTTTGGAGCTTCCGACAGTATGAGTCAACAAGGGAGACGGGGAACGCTGAGGAGATGTTGGCTGAGGCTGAGGTGTTGGGGAGGGTGTGCGAGCCAATGGTGATAGGGGAATGCTCCCTGCTGATTTACGTCGGCCTTGACGGAGCCGTCCAGGAAGTTTGGGTCCCAGGCCATGCAGAGTACTGGGCCGAATGTGGCCAGAGCCTGCAGGTGAGTTAGGTGCACTGGAACTGGGGGAGCTACTCTGTGATGAAGTGCCACCTACAACAAGAAAATGTATAGTGTCAACCTTTGAAGTTACTGTCATTTAGGTTTAATATTCCACCTTGAATTGAACAGGAATAAAATGCACTGAACACTTAATATCTATTTACACTTCTTGACATGAAACATGATTAATATATGCTCTTTTATCAGGATCATTGACAGGGTAAAACATACAACCTGACTGGGTAAAATCTGGTGCTGGGCGAAAGGCAGCAGTGGGGGAGCGTGGTGAGAGGCTGTGTGTGGGGGACCCAGGCAGGCTTTCTCCTGAAGACAGTGAACGATTCAGGGAGGAGAAACTGCGACTGGTGTGTAAAAGTGGAGAGGGTTGCATGGCAAAGCGCTTGAATACTGAACGCCGTCTGGAGAAGAAAATATGTTTGACTGAAAAACAACCATACTGCAACATAACACAACGGTATCATACTATTCAAACTACCTTTAAGGGATATAGACAGAAACTGTTAGCGATATACTTTATACACTGCACGGTATGCATTAGAAAGTACAAAAACTTCCAATTCTAAATGAAGTTTGCATTTGTACAGTATACTACAAAAACAAAAGCAACAACAGCTACATCTAGTGGGAGTCGAGTGCCTTTTCTACTGAGATGTACTTTAGGGATCCAAAATTAAATGGTATTTTTAATACACAACTTTAAAAGCTGACACAGTCAGTGATGATCATCATTTTTTCTTACCTTTCTTGAGTTTTCTCTTTCTTGGGTTTTTTGGTTCTTCTCACCATTTTACTTCTGTAGCTGTTTCTTCTAGCTGGCCCAGTTTTGATAGAAGTGTTTTCAAATGGGGTTGTAGATATTGCAACTTTACTTCCACTCTGAAAAACAACACGTGTTACTTACAGACACAATAACAATGAAATGGCATAGAAAAGAGGGAATAATGCTGTGTTTGTAACAATGGTATGTACCTTCAGCAACAGCTCCACCACTTCTGTGTGAAGTAACCCATGAACTGTTTCTCCATTCACATGAGTTATTAGATCTCCAGCCTTAAGACCAGCCTTGTGAGCAGGTCCACCATCCTCCACATTCTATACCAAATTAGACCAGTATTTATTTTAAATCATGCATAGCTCAAAATATTTTATTTGTCTCTTAAAGGTGCAGTAGGTGATTGTCTTTTTTAATGTTTTGCTGCGCTGGGTACAATGCTCTTCACATTCTGGTATTAATGATTAACGTAAATTATCTAAATTTATTTTTATGTCTTTTTATATTCTGGGTAAGGCATAGGACTAAAAAAAGTGTCACATTAAAAGTTTTGGGCTTAAAATTACAATAGGTAGCCCAAACTGTCAACAAATGTATGTTTGTATATCTGCACACCCGGTTCATGCAGATATACATGCCATTTGCACGTTCAAATGCAGTGTGGCAACCGGCTGGAGATGATAAAGAGAGTGCCTGGCAAGCAAACAACATCAACCTGATTTTCTTTTTGAAAGACGAACATGGCCTTGTATCCATGAAATGAAAGATTTATTTTTGAAGAGCTTTGGCCAAAAAAAGCTAGATCAAAACTGGTGTAAATCCTTAATTCCTAACAAAGTTGCTTTTGCATGCTGGAGGGATATGCAGATCAAAACCGCAGTCTGAAGAATGACAACATGTTTGCAGTATTTATCTTAGACAGGTATGAATGTTTTTTAAACTATGCTAGTCATGCAAAGAGTTCTTTTACCAGGCTATGTGCACTGAAGTGTTTTTAAGCCACTGAAAGATTTATGTGACCATTTTCAATTTTACAGTATATGGTATGTTTTTAATGCGTCTATAATGTAATTCAATCAAAATATAGTCAGTTAAACAGACCTAGGCATTTATTTAGTTGTTCAAGAGTAAAATGAGAAAAAAGGCTGTTTAAACACAAGTGCGGTGAGGAGCAGTGAGCACAGTCAAAATGAAAAGTTAAAAAGTGTCAGTCATTGTCTTGATAACAGAATGCTGTCTTTGTCTTGGTGCTTGTCTCCATATTGACGTCAGCAGAGACGAGCGATCCTTGCATGCATGAAACATGGGTCCAAAGTTTCTAATCGGACCAAAAGAGCTAAAACAAGTCATGTGCGAGTAAACTCTCCTTACATTGGTCAGAGTGTCAGGGTTTATTTTGCAGCGTCCCGCTAAGCTGTCAGGAGAGGTGGTGGTTTGGTGGTGATTGACAGGGTGCACGCGCGCGACGTGTTTGAGGAGAGATGCGGTGGGGAGGGGTGAGAAGGGTGCGCGACGATGCCTATTTGAGGACCGGGAGGGAGACGTGAGATTACCGGGAGATCATCACTCGTTTGCGGGCATCCGGAGACTCGCGAAACTTCCCGCCCTACTCATAATTCTCTCTTCATATAGCCATAAGCCTATTACATATCCATAAAACACTGTGATATAACGGCGCTCGGATCGGATCGCTTTCTCACTGCAATCGAACCGCTCCAGGGTTCGTTTCAATCGAGTCGAGACCACCTCACTCAAGCGATCTCGGAGCGATTACTTTGGTGCGGAACAGAGCACGATTGCCCTGTTCACATATGCCAATCGTACCGTCCTAACTGGGCAAACGAGATACGTTCCGAAACAAAAGTGTAGGTGTGAAAGCACCCTAAAACAATTTGATTTTGCTCACTATTGATATCAGCATTGCTCTCTCACTCTCTGTTGCTCACCAGCAGTAAGTTGACACGTGAGCATGTGAGGGTACTACATTACACTGCCCCAACTGCTCGGTCTCCAGTGACAAGTGCTGATCCCCCGTAACCAGTTTTGATTGAGAAGGTTTTTGGTTTATAGACAAAAGAGGACATAAACAGGCCAATATGAAAACATTGCTACAGAGCAGTGCTAACTAAATGCAACTAATTTAGCTAAAACTCATGTAAGACCAACATGTAGTTGTATAAACAATTTCAAGAGGTTGGAAACTGCTCCCATTTAAATATGCAATAAATCAAACAACTGAGCAAAGTTATTTTGATATTGGTGTTGTTACTTTTTTGCCATTTAAATCAAGATGTCCTCCTTGCAGTCTGTACTACAATGACATACTGAATCAGGTCCAATGCGTAGTTAATAAATGTAGTGGTTAGGTTTAGGGTTGAAGTAGGTGTTGATGTTAATGTAGCGTATAATGTAATGGGTAATTTAATCATTGACATAAATAAATGTTATTTAGGCGACATGGTGGCTCAGTGGTTAGCACTGTTGCCTCACAGCAAGAATGTTGCTGGTTTGAGTCCGAGCTGGGCCAGTTGGCGTTTCTGTGTGAAGTTTGCATATTGTCCCTGTGTTTGCATGGGTTTCCTCAGGGTGCTCTATTTCTCTATATATATTTAAGTATGACCATGTTAGGTCTGATCTTTTAAATAACATTAATTATTGGTAATTTTAGGATAACACTTTTATTTTAATGACAAAATGTGATTGTTGAAGACTGAAAATATGCCATATTATGATATTCTAGCTTTCTTTATATTTTTAAAAACCCAAAATTGTACACTTTTAATGTTTAATATTTTCCTTGTGGTATCGAATATTTATATTTATTATGGTATAGTATTAAAGTTCAGAAATTCCAGTATTGTTACAACACTTATAAAGTTATCTAACTGGTGATTGACATGAAATGTTATAAGGCTGTCTATGATCATCTATTCAGTGCGTATTCATGACTTAAGGAGGTGTGGCTTTAAACTTCAGGGAGAGACATGTATTTTTAATGCTATAATGGTAAAGTTAGCATTTCTTAGATCACCTACTGCACCTTTAACTATAAGGTAAGCTGAATATGAAAAATATATTCTTTTTTTGCATCTAGTTTCTATGGTGACGTCACACTTACCCAGACCATGTGGTAAACAGTATAAACATCACTGTCACAGGCGTAGACCCGGATGGCTCGCAGAGTAAAGCCAAACTTCTTCCCTGAGCTGTGGATAATGATTGGCTGACGGGAACTGACACCACTTAAGGATGAGTCTCTACTGGGAGAGGAGTCTCTGGAGGATGGGTCTGATGATAGTGAGTATGGAGAAATGGGGCTTGCTAATGGTGACACACCAAAAACATCTAGAAGAGAGCAAAAAGACAGGCCAACAGATCCTTTATTAATAAAACATTAGACTGAAGCTGTGCATCAGCAAGTAATCACCTTTAATCCATTTTATTAACACTGAAAAAGCTGACTTTACTATTAGACACAGCCTAAAGATCTAAAATAACTTTTTATTCTGCAGTCTAAACACTAAAATAACACTTGGCTGCACATGCAAGGACAACAACACTTATAACTTCACATCATTACAAGACATTCTTCCAGCATACTATATCCATTTTCACTCACCTCCAGGGATCATCAGTGACAGGGCACTGGTAGACACTGATTTTGGCACTTTGCTGACTATACATGGTTTGTCTGTGGCCTCAAGTTTGGGAGCAGTCAGGAAGGAGCCTGTATCAGAAGAGGCATTACAGGAGCTCTCGAGACTCTCAACAACATCTCCTCGTGATGGCACTTGATCCAGGTGCTCAGAGAAACTGCCTACTCAAAAGAAAGAAGAAAAAAAAAAGGAAATTTTTAAGCTAGAAAAAAAAAAAATCTAAACAGACCAGACACTATAAGCATTCCCATTCATTTTTCATTATTTGTTATTGAAGTATCAAAGTAAAACAAAAATATTAAAAGTACGCCTGCACTGATCCTGGTTTAAATTTAAATGATGACATCTATCCTCTCTAAAATGTTTTGGTATTGTAAGACTTCTAACACTTTGCGATTATCACAATTATTTTAACATGGTTCTTTTATAACAGAATGGAATAAATCAGCTCATCAAACTGACTTGACTCTGAAGCAGCTTGCAGCTTGAGCCAAAACACTTCTATTTGCTACTCTGCCAAAACTCACTTCAGCACATATTCCCGACAGTCACTGTGACTCAATGTAGGCCAATGCAATTTTGTTATCATGACGCTTTAAAATATTTATCTGAAAATTTCTCAGAACAACTCAAAACAATAGATCAGTTCACTTAAGAATATTTTTGGTTTAGGTATATGAGGGGTTGAAAGTTATAGAGTCAATCTAGGGCCACATATATTTACAAAATAAAAGGTTTTCCAAACAAAAAATAAAGTATTAAGCAAAAAATAAATAAATAAATGAAAATCTCCAAAAATTGCAAAGAGAATTAAGTTTTAAGAAATAAAAATGAAATTTGCAATCAAAAAAGAACTGAATAACATGTATATTCGCAATAAAAAATAAAAACTTATATTTTTGCTAAACATTTTTTAAAGCATTGCCTTTAAAAAAAAAACTGTCTAGTCAATTGTAATGCTCATTTTGATTTGTTTTTTAGTCAACCATGAGTTTGAACTTCACGTTTCTGCGTGTTTCACTTTGTGGCCATGATTTGACAAAGGGGCAGAGTCAAGGGAACTTACTAGGTTGTATTGCCAACTCGGTGATACTGTGAAAAGTCATGGTTGAATATATACAAAAAAAAAAAAAAAAAAATTGCGCTGCGCTACTTTTATTTGCAGTTTTTTTTTTATTTGCAAATTATATTTTTATTTCTCAAAAATTTATTCTTGTAATTTGCTTTTTTTTTTTTTTTTGCTCAATACTTTATTTTTAACTTTATGGTTTGCAAAACTTTATTTTATTTTTAAGTATATATGGCCCTTGATTGACTTCATAGAAAATCAGAGCCAAGCAAAGAAATAAGCAAACAAAAGAGTTCCTTAAACTCTCGTGGCCACCAGGGGGCCACTAAGAGTATATGAAATAGGTGGTTTTATTCTTTTATTTTGATATATTATGTTCTTGGACAATGGTGTTTATACAAAATGCAGAATAGCTAAAGTAGCTTATGACTAACTATTGTAATGAAAGTTGATTAAAAAAGAAATGGCTCTGCGACAATCATAAAAAGAATCATATCTTTCTAGTGCGGGTAAAAAAAAAGAGAGAGAAAAAAAACCCCTAAGAAAACAGAAAAAGAGATTAAACAGAAAGATAAAGGTAAATTGATGAACTCATTTCTTGACATTTCTTACATTAACGTAAGAAAGTTAAAGTTTGATTAAACATTCATAAATTGCTTTGCAATCCTAAGGTATTATTATTATTATACAACATCATATTAAGCTGGTTTAGATTAAAGTTTTTGCTTCTGTGTAAAACAACTTTCTTGGAAATAGGTTATATTTCTGTAATAAAAGTAGGCTTATGTTTCATAAACTTGGTATAATTATAAAAGCTTTTGTATTACAAATTTGGTATTGAAATCATTCATTTATTTTCTTTTGGGTTTAATCCCTTTATTAGTGTTGAAATCACTTTAACATAATTTATTATATGGCTGGGTAATACAAAACATCTTAACAGTTAGTGAATATGCATTCATAGCCATCATATGTGCATCTGTTCTTGACTGTTTGGCGGCATCTTTTGACTAAATAGTAACAAGCTGGTTAGTTGAGGCTGCATTGAGACATTTTTTCTTCCTGAAACATTTACATGTTTACATTTATACATATTCACATTTATACGTCTTATAAAAAAAACACTGAACAATACAGACACATCAACCAAAAATAATAATGGGTGTATTAGATAATTGTGTGCGAATAATCAAGGATGGACAATAATGTCTCATATTGGTTGCACCAAATGGCCCCTATAGGCTTGGACCAGCCCTGGCTCAAATGTTTAAGGTAATTTTTATTTATTCTGTATTCTTTTATTGTTTTAGTGTATCTAAAACATCTATCAATATATTCTAACATTACTTTTTTTTTTTTCAGGAGAACTCAAATATGTAGTAACTATCAAACTTTGTATGGTGGAGGTGTAATGCATGTAGATTTCCATCTTCAGTAAATCAGTCCTTTACCTGAGAGGGTAGAGTTACTGATGGTGCTACAGGGTGTGCTGGGATCAGGCTCATCCTGAGGCAGCTCCCCAATACTGAAGGTCACTTTACTGGGGTCTTCCAGAGCCAGGGAGCCGTCACCATCCTCCACTTCTGCTGAGATGGCAAACTTGGGTAGAAGACCAGAACATCTGCTTAAGCTAGTGCTCTCATTGTCAGAGGAATGAGACAGAGAGGGTCTATAGGAGAGAAACAAGAAAATAAATCAATATATGATCTATCTGGAAAAAAGCAGATACTAAAATCTTGAGGTGGGTTTAGTTTCTGGTCTGAGGGAGTCTATCAGATGTAATCAGTCTTATTTAAAGTGGTTCATGAGGTTGACTTCTATAAGCTAGCAGTCAATCTAATCAACCATCTTGACCAACTTAGACCAGGTAATGACCATCAATGGCCAGCTTTAAAATGTAAAATAGTTTACTATCAGATATTTTCATTCAAATTTTTTATCAATCAGTCTTGGGTTTAAAAAGTAGTATATTACAATTTAATCCATCTCATAAAAAAAATATTACAAAAAACAAAAACTGAACAACACAAATGTATTAATATATTACTTTTCCCCAACACTATTACGATGATGAAAGGCACAATTCATCCAAAACTTTATATTTACTGCTAATTTATTTACCTAGACATGAATTAATCTAGGCATTTTTTTAAATCACCCATACATTAAAATCAATTTAAAATAAATATTAATTAAAAGGTAAACAACAGTAACTAATGGCACATGAGCATTCATCATCATTCATCATAAGTAAGAGCATTTGGAACGTTAATGTGCAAGGCTTATGTTGTTTTCTCATACCATTTATTTTAAGATAGACAAAATAAATGTTAAGATGCTTGATACTGTAAACTGCCATTTTGTTTTTGTGTTGTTGTGGTAGTGCAGTGGAAACCTTGCACATTTACAGACAATCTTAATTTTGGATTTCACACAATTTGGGTTTGTGAATTTTATGCAAATAGTTTATGGGTAACACACATTTCAGTGAAGTCTGGAGTCCAGCTCAGCGAGTCAACAGTAAGAGGACTATCTGTTGTCTTCTCGGTCTGCTCTCCTTTCTCCTCCAGCTGTCCTCGAGATAGATCCAGGCTACTGTAAACCTACATACACCACACAAACACACAAGATATGGTTTAGAAAATACTACCTTACGCCATAGGATATAAACATGAATACGCACATGTGTTATATTTTTATGGTAAAAGTAGTTTATGATGCGAAGATTGTGATTAATGATTTATATTATAAGTATTTTCATTCAAAAACCTTCAAAAAGACTGACGAACGCATACTGTAGAATTAAGAAATCTTTTGTTCTAGATTTTTGAAAAAGAAAATCATAATTACAGCAGATAATTATATATCTTTGAAAATGGAAATTGAAAATGTAAAATGAAAAATCGAGGGCTTGTGTCTGGTCCACTAGTCAAACATAAAAAACAAAACAAACAAAAAAGCATTCACTGTTAACATGATAGTTCTGGAAGCAATTCCTACTGCAATGCACCAAAACCCTGCATGCCCAAGATGAGTATTTGTTCCGTGTGAAACTGTTCCCTGACCTACAAAAAAATCCTCTCTAACAAAAGTAAAAGCATGTAAATCTATAAGCTGAATTTAATGCCAGAGACGGTGCTGGCTGTAGTGTTCCACAGATACAAACACAATGCATATGCTGAGCAGGACTCCTCTCATCTGATTCATTATACACTGCATGAATTAAACAGTGTTTGATGGAAAAAATAGAAAAGAGAACTCACTTTGGAAAATCGGTGAGAGGATGAAGAAAACTGCCGCAGCTCCACATTGAAATCTTCATCATTGGTATCGTCCTCTTCCTCCGTTTCTAAGTGATGGTACCTATCAGATCGTGCTGTAATTATAAGAGAAAATGGAATGTCAGGATGTTTTCATGTCAGTTGTTTTAAGACTCTATTATTGTAAATAAGGGAAGTTCGCTCAAACCCGACATCCCAGAATTTTTGTTCAGATTAACTTCTAAAATGGAAGAAACCACATGTATAAATAAATCAGTATTTATGTTCAAATATATAGAAAGGGAAGTCAAAATGATCAGCCCTCCTGTGAAATTGAATTATTTTTATAATTCTATTCTACTTTATTGTTTTTATATTTTATTTCACAAGAACCGTTTAATGCAGACTAAAGAAATATCGACATATTTTAAAATAAATTTAATAACTAATTTCTAAAAAGAATGCTAATTTATTTTGTTTTTGCCATGATGACATTACATAATATTTTTCTAATTAGTTTAGAACATACTAGAATTCAGCTAAAGGTACTATTTAAATGCTAATTAGGCAAGTCAATGGACAACAGTTTAGTAGCCAACCAAAAAAAATCTCAAGAGAGATAAGAATATCGACCAAAATATTATTTGTTATTATTATTTATTTATTTATTTTATTTTTTTAAACTGCTTTTATTCCAGCCAAACTAAAGAAAAATAGTCTTTTTTTAGAAAAAGTACTCTGAAAATTCCCTTGGTCTGGTAAACATCACTTAAGAAATATTTGAAAAAGACTTTCTGGGGAGGGCTAAACAATTTGCCTTCATCTGTATATATACAAAAAAAAAAGCTAAAGCAAGTTGTTTGAAATGCCTCCAATATAATGACAAAGATTGATATCATCAACCAACTGTGCTTTACTAATATCTGAGTAATTTATCAGCCTGGGAATGTCTGATGCTGCCTTAAGACATAAAGACAGACATGACGAATGACTGTCAGGCCAGCTCTGGTTGCATGGACCGTGAAGGACAATGACTTCACTCCTGCTGTCACTCACTGTCAAAGTAGCTGGTGTCATCTTCAGACTCCAGCTGGGGGATGAACTCTGCCTTCTGCCTCAGCAGGCTGTTCCAGTCCAGACTGTGAAAGAACTGATGGTGCTTCACCTCATACGCTCCTCCTGCTTATAGACATACAAGCGATCACATTTTAGAAACACTTAGTAAATGCTTTGGATTTTAGATCATCCAAAAATTTGAATTATGCTTTAATAATTACTCAGCCTCAAGTTGTTCCAAACTACAGAAACCTTCGCTTAATTTTGGAACATAAGTGAAGGTATTTTTAGATGAAATCCAGGAGCCCTTTCTCATCCTTGATATAAAGTAACAGTCTAGAGATGTTCCAAGTCCAGAAAAGGAACAAAAAACATTGTCATGTAAACTTGGTTTAACTGTAATCACACTAAGCTTCAAGAACTTTTTTAGGGCACAGTGGCTGTTTCTCAATTCCAAGAATGCAGAGAATGGACTTGCGTTCTCGTGGAGAGCTGTCTTGCTAGGTCACCTCAGAAGAACAAACTCAGGAGACAGCGAGAACACAAAATGTGTACTGTGAAAAATGAGATGCTACGTTCTTCCTCATGGTCACATGACCTTAACACATTAATGAACAACATTAATAAACATTACAGCATTCATACAATGATTTGTTCTTTTCCTTTTTAATATATACTGTATAACATGCACAAAAACCTTACAAATATACTTTGCACAATACAAATAACTCTTTTATTATGAATTTCAGCAAAATAACACCCTTCATGTGTTTATCCCTTTATTAAGATATTCATAGTAATGCTTACTTTCACCGTCTTATTTAGGGAAATTCCTGAGATAAATAAGCTATATCTCTGAACTTTAATAGTAAAAAGGTATAGACTGCTGTGCGTCCCACCTCCTCTATTCAGTCGCAATGACTTCTGGGACTTCCAGAGCTAGTTTTGCGTTCAAGTTTGCATCGACGCATCCTTGATATCATGAACACATTTCAGAACTTTCATGCATCCTCCATTCTAGTTGTCTTGAGTTTTGGAATCGAATTTTGGCAGTTGATGATGACGTTGCACGAAAACACAATGACGCAAGAACACTGAAGAACACAACAGTTAACTGCTGGCGATATGACGTACTGCCATTAGAATCAGCAGCACAACATGCAAGTACTGTATTGCCTGTAGTAAACACATACCCTAATCTATACCCTAAAGAATTATCAGATATTTGGACTTTAAACAGGAAAAAAAACGTAAGTAAAACTATTTTTGCAGTGGTTTATGATTAACATTACATATTTCATTAAATTAATTTCAAAATTAATTTAAAAACAACGCAAAATAATAAAGAATGCAAAAAAATCTTTTATTCCAGATTTTGGAAGAAAATCATAATTCTAGCAGATATTAGCAGAACTAGCAGATACACAATTAGTAGATAGCACATACCTAATCTGACATGGGGAAAAATATATGAACAAAGCCATATTTACAGATTTTGGTGCACAAAAGTTTTCTTGGAGCTTTGTATGATTACTGAAGTCATATGGAATGTTTAGATCTTTTTTTTATCTGCTTTTCTGGAATTTAAAAGACACTGCTGTTGCTTTCTCTAAAGGTAGAGGGAGTCCTTGGATTTCACCCAAAATATATTTTATATTTCTTTCTTCAATTTATGTTATATACTATTATATAGTTCTGAAGATGAACAAAGTTCTCAGGTGACTTAAAGTATTGTGTTGAATAGTCTTAGCATTTGAGTGTTGCATTTCACATTATGCATTTCATTTGTACATAAATGATATTAAATATTTAGATTATGCAATGCAATTTCTGGGATTTAACTTTATTCACTTGTGTGAGAGAGTGTGTTCTAAGATATCTATCTATATATATATATATATATATATATATATATATATATATATATATATATATATATATGGATTTTTTATATTTGTATAAGGCACAAGAAAGAGCAGTGGGTAGCACAAGAAGGTCGCTGGTTTAAGCCCTGGCTGAGTCAGTTGGCATTTCTGTGTGGAGTTTGCATGTTTTCCCTATGTTTGCGTGGGTTTTCTCCGGGTGCTCCGGTTTCCCCCACAAGTCCAAAGACATGTGGTATAGGTAAATTGGGTAAGCTAATTTGTCTGTAGTGTATGTGTGTGAATGGATGTTTGCCAGTGTTGGGTTGCGGCTGGAAGACCATCCGCTGCCGAAGCATATGCTGGATAAGTTGGTGGTTCATTCCGCTTTGGCGACCACAGATTAATAAAGGGACTAAGCCGAAAAGAAAATGAATGAATTTATTTGTATAAGCATTTTAAAGCATTTAAATCTATATGACTTTGAAATTTCTACAACATTTTACTGGCCAAATAGGCATTTTATTTAATTGCCAAAATTATGTTTACTCACATTTGGTGCTTGGCAAGTATCACTGTAAGTATTCTGGACCCTTACCAGTGCCAAGGCGCTCCATAGGGTTCTGTCTGAGCAGCAGAGTGATCAGCTCCTGAGCATCAGCTGGTGGCGCTTCCTCTCCCTCAGGCCAGTTTATTTCATCTAAGGCAAGCAGAAGACAACAGTTTTATCCTCATTAACCAAAGTCTTTTCCAAAAATCATTCAACATGACAGATCCACACCACTTTTGTTGTGCCTCCATTGTAACACAAACCCATTACACATTCACAACACTACATTAATGAATACAGAGAATATTTTTACATATGAATCAAATGTAATAATTAAAATGCATCAAACTGCCTACTACACATAAACAGGCATGCCAAACATTATCATATCCACTTTCACATGCATGAATTCTAGGAACGAGCATCCAGTACCACAGGTTATTTCGCATTTCTCACTAATCAAAGAGCAGACCCTTGATGAAATCATGACTTAAATGATTACTGTGGAATAACAAAACGTGTTCGATCTGAAGGAAGAGGACAGGGATTTTAGTTTAAAGGCCAGGGGGTGAAAATAATGAAGAGCGGTGCTTTGTTTGTTTTGTCGCTACAGCAACATTTGCCTCACATTTGAATCACCTCAAGAAGCATTAATATGCATCCCAGCTCAGGGCAATAGCAGCTAGCTGGGTACATTAATTATGACTCACACCGCAACACATTACTGACTAACGTTAATGGTAATCACGGTACAGAAACATTTGGGAATGGCAGAAAAGATTGTTGTTTCGGGGGCTTAAACTTGCATTACATTTTACAGGTGACTATTTGAGGTGTTAGCATTTAATTAGGCAAGTTTATTTATTTATTTCGCACACAATGGTAATTCAAAGTGCTTTACATAAACAGGAATAATCTGTTAAATCTCCAGATTAGAAGGTTGTTTTTTGAACTGCAGTATTGTTGAACAAAAGAAAATATTCCACATATTAAATATAAACAACTGTAACACTGCCTTCCTAGAAATGATAATGAATAAAATAATAATAATAATAACATAATTGACAGAACACTATCTTGCATCCCTTATTTTACTGTATTTAGCTAACATATCTTACACACTTTGTACTGTAGAACATTATTGTAAAACAAATATTTTTTCATAGGTTAATAATGTACATTCATTATTATAATAATTATTTACTCTAAATTTACATAAATACATTTCATTTACATTATTTATTTATTTATATTGATTACTTAGGCTAAATGTTAGAACATTATTTTCTTACACTTTCATTTTTTTCTTTATAAGATAGAATCACATGTGATTTCACCATCATAGATCAGCAATAAACAAATCCAGAGAATTTTGAATAGCAAAACGGACAGGTGAAGCATAAGAACAGGAGACCCACATGCCTCTGGGGAGATTTGCTGATCTTATGATACTGATATGCATTAATGAGAGGCAGCGTTGAGATTACGCAACACAAGTTTGCATCTGTTAAAGCTCCTGTTGAATGAATTATGTCTGTATTGCATAACAGGAATTCAGAATGTGACTGACCGCTGATGACTTGGCCAAACAGTTCTTCTGGAGTGTCTCCAAAGAACGGTACACAGCCCACCAAAAACTCATAAAGGATGATTCCCATTGCCCACCAGTCTACTGGCTTTCCATAGCCTTGCCTCAGGATCACTTCAGGAGCAATGTACTCAGGAGTTCCGCACACCTGCAGGGAAAAGTGTATGTTACAAAACAAAGGACAGACATCATCGTTTTTTTTTTAGAAGATTTGGATTTTGGTCCTCTATCTTAAGCCCTGCTTGCTCACACTGTGCAAGTCCGGACTATTTTTTAACAAAAACTTTCCTCCTTTCCCATGGATATCATCAACCAACTATGCTTTACTAATAAAGGCTGATAAATACTAATAAATTTATAATCTGGTAATCTGAAACAGATCATAGAGATAACCAAATTATCAATAATTCTTAGTTAGAAATTGCAACAGCCGTTTCAAAAAAAACCTCCACAAAGTGATTCACCTTCAACTCAAATCAAACGCGGCGCCGCATGCACTGTTCACTTGGGTAAAAAAAAAAATCATGCAGTCCGCCGCACGTACCCAATGCGAACCTTCCGAAACATCGCGATGACATCACATCAGGCAAACTCAGGCGAACTAGCGGACGTGTCGAGTATAACCAGGCTTTACAGTTAATTTTCAGAACAACATCACAGTATAGCAACTGTGAGCTGTTATTTTTCTGATGATTGATGCAATAACCTATTCTGCCGGCTATTTGTTATTCTACTGACCTCCGTAGACTACAGTGATTAGTCCGAACTGCTGAACGAATCACTGGCACTACTCTTCCTACACTTCAAGAACTGTACTCTTCCAGATTAAGTAAAAGGGCGTGCAAAATCGTTCTGGACACCTCGAACCCAGCACACTTCCTGTTTGAACTGTTACTGTCTGGTCAGCGCTATAGAGCACTGAGCACAAAAACAGCCAGACACAGGAAAAGTTTCTTTCCTCAGGCCATCTACCTTATGAAGAGTTAAATATTCCACTACTGTGCAAAAAACGTGCAATACTTTCTCATATGCACTTGTACACAGCACCTTATAACAATATACAATGCAATACTTTCTCCATACAAATTTGCACACAGCACCTTATAACCTGATATTTACATATCGCGTCCAAAGCCATGTTGAAAACGCGACATGCGCTTCTTCCTTTACCAATGTAAAATATTTTTGTGCTTGCGATCTCCTGCTGTCTGTTGCTTTGGCCACCATTAGCTGTTCCTCACATGTGTGGTGCAGTCAATTTTAAAATAGTTTAACTTTTTCAGTGTGTAGAATAATACTGAATGTGTGTTATTGTTATTACTTGGAGTTAGGGTTAGGAATAGAGTAATATGCTGGTGTTGCATTACTTTAATGCATTCATGTATTGGGCTCCCACATATACTCTGTGCTCTGACTACTTCTTAACTGTGCTGGGCTTTCTCTCTGTTTTGCGCTGAACGCAGTCGACCAATTACAACAGACTGGGTCAGATGAATCAGCATAGATTAGCCTCATGCAAAAGAGAGCTTTGAAAACAAATGAATCACTGAACAAATCATATGGGAGTTGTTGGGATAATTAGGCAAAAATAAATACATATTATAAGACAATGAAAGGGTTTTTTGACCTTGCATTCATATCAGCCTGTTGTTGGAGACCCCCAAAACCAAATTATAATTCATAATAGGGGCTCTTTAAATATGCAACCTCTTTAAAATCAGGTGGACTTTGACTTAATACTGATGTTATACAAATATTTAAAATAATTAATTAAGCTGAATATAGTTGTGATGTAAACTGCGCCTAAAACCCATTGGGTAACCGCTAGCATATTAGAATGATTCTAAAGACAAAGTCCTAAAATAATGGTTGCGTTTATGGAACATGATTAATGACAATAACTTCAAAATTTCAATTGAAATATACAGTTTTAATAAGACTTTTATAGAAAATTGAATCTGTACCTGTTTATCAGAGAACTCTCTTGCGTCTTTCTCAATGTGACCCTCGTAGAGGTTAGTGGTCATGTTCATCAGCCCCACTTTCGATAGGCCAAAGTCTGTCAGCTTGATGTGTCCCATTGAAGTGACTAACAAACTATGGAAAATATGATAAGATATAAGAGGCACAACATAATATTATCTTGGTCATATCAGCTTATGATGCTATTAACCTAGTGGCTGTAACTTGTCTGCATCCTTTAATTAGAATAAAGATGTCAACATTTTAGACAAGGGGTTTTCAACCTTTTAGGACACACCCTCAAGTTTGACCAATTTCACTCAATAGTTAGCTGTGAAACGCTAATCAGATTCACTCTAGTGAACACATAAAAATCATCATCATGATACACTCGAGTACATGCTTCAAATTCTCATGGCCCCCTTAATAGGCCAGGTTGAAAACCCCTGTTCAAGACCAGCTAATAAAACCACCATGTAGAAATATTGTTAGGTCAGCTCATTTCATTTTTATTGTGTATGCTATGTCAAATTTCAGTAATTAGTAATTGTTAATCAGTAATTGTTAGGCACAGCTCACTTGTCTGGTTTGAGATCTCGATGGACAATTCCATAGTTGTGGAGATATTCCAGGGCTAACACAGTCTCTGCAAAGTACATTCTGGCCATGTCCACAGGGAGAGGACCCATGTTCTTCAGCAAAGTAGCACAGTCCCCTCCTGTGCGAATAAGAAACATGCAAAATAATGCTGCGTAAAACACAGATTTTTGACTCCTGGGTTAAACCGTGTCAAATTAAACAATTTTTAGAAGCTTCACGTTCGTTGTATATTCATATATATATTTAAGAAAGACAAACATACAGTATATAGTGATCAAAGACAAAGACTAGGACAAAATCTTACATTGTATGGGATATATCATCATCATTGTATGGAATAAATAAATCAGTAAATAAGTAAAAAAAAAAAATAAGTAAATAAATAAATAAACTATTTAGCAAAACAAAAGCTATATTATTTATATTTTTGTTATGAGTTTTTTTTTTTTTTTTTTTTTGAGAATGGCAGGTCTATCTATATCCTTTTACATTGTGGTTCTTAAACATTCATTTGATTATCTTTGTTGTTTAATAGGATATTACTTTGTATTTAGACATTTACATACATTACTTTCCAATTGTTTTTTTTACAAGGTCATCAGTTCATGTACTATAAAAACCTAACCAGAGTTAATAAAAATGACATGGAATGTGCTTACCACATGCTAAAATGATTATGATAAATATTTTTTGTATTCTTTTTTTTTGGTATTCATTTATTATTCATTTACATGCATTAACATAACCATATATGCATTTTGCACATGAATATCGTAATTTATCAGAAAAAATTAAATATTTTTTATTTACTTGTGCACAAAACAGCAAATGATATACATGTGTTATGCAGTATCTCACCTTCAACGTATTCCATAACCATGCAGAGATGTCTGCGGGTCTCAAAGGAGCAGTACATGCTGACCACAAAAGGGTTCTCTGCAAACGTTAGGATGTCTCTCTCTACAAAGGCCTGCTGGATCTGATTCCTCAGCATCAGGTTTTGCTTGTTAATCTTCTTCATGGCAAAGCGCTGTTTTGTCTCTTTGTGTCTCACTAAATACACTGCACTGTGAAACAAAGAAAAGCATCAGTCAAGTGTATGATAACATTCATATTTATATCAATGACAATTAAAAATCTAACTTAAGCCCCTGGTTGTCATTCCACTTTGAGTTCACTCAAGAAAATGATGTAAGATATAAGCATATTATATATAGTTTGTTAACATATACAGATGAAGTCAGAATTATTACCCCCCCGATTGATTTATATATATTTTTATATTTCCCAAATGATGTTTAACAGAGCAAGGACATTTTCACAGTATGCATGATAATATTTTTTCTTCTGGAAAAAGACTATTTTGTTTTATTCCGGCTAGAATAAAACCAGTTATAAAAAAAAAAAAAAAAAAAAACATTTTATGGTCAAAATTATTAGCCCCTTTAAGCTTTTTTTTTTAGATAGTCTACAGTAAAAGCAAACAATTACTTGCCTAATTACCCTAACCAGCCTAGTTAATGTAATTAACCTAGTTAAGCCTTTAAATGTCACTTTAAGCTGAAAACTAGCATTTTGGAAAAATAACTAATAAAATATTATGTTCTGTCATCATGGCAAAGTTAAAAAAATCAGTTATTAGAAATGAGTTATTAAAACTATCATGTTTAGAAATGGCTTGAAAAAAATCTTCGTTCTGTTGAACAGAAATTGGTGAAAAAATAAACAAGCGGGCTAATAATTATGACTTTAAATGTGGATCAGGTTTAGACATCTAACAGTGCTCTAAACGGATTGCCAATATTTGCTTACAGAGCAGTATGTATTTTGTGCTGAAAACTAGTTATTAAAAACAGTGCTAAGTATTGGACCTAATTTGTTTATACAGTATATCATCACTTACCCATAAGCTCCATTGCTGATCAGTTTAATCATCTCAAAGTCGAGTTCACAGGGCTTGCGCCGGGACCGTAATGCTGCACTCAAACTGTGGGACTGAACATGCAAAATGCTGTAAGTAACTGATTGACTTGCAAATAAGCAAAAGTTCACATACTCTAGATAAAATAAATAACTCAATAACTGAATAACTAACTAACTAACTAACTAACTAACTAACTAAATAAATAAATAAATAAATAAATAAATAAATAAATAAAATACTTACACTGACAGATTCATCCGTCTCAGGTGTTTCTGCAATCCCACTGTCATAACTAGTTAACTGGGCAATTTCTAGAAGACAATTACAATGAATTAGTTGCTGGAATACACATTCAACTAATACTTGAAAACTAAATTTCTGAAGAAAATTTCTTATATTGGTCTTGCTAAATCAATAATACAGATATAACTTGTGTAACCAGCATATAATACAAAGGTTTAAATCGTCATGGTCCAAATGTAATAAAAACTGTACAGATAAAGTATTATTCTTACATATTCTACATCCCCAATCCTCTTTAATACAAAAATCTAATTATTACCTTAATAACTATTAATAAGCAGCAAATCAGCATTTCATTCAAGCAAGTCATAGTTAATGGTTCATCAAAAGTGTTCTAAAAGACAGAATCTTTTTATTTGAAAGTAATTTAAGAAATACATTTTCCTACATGATTATATATATATATAGTCTGTCTTTTGCAAAAAAAATGCTTTTCTTATTTGCAAAGGCAACAACAGAAGTGTGTAATTTATAAGGAATATTGCTGATCATTAATTAATTAATTCATTTATTGATTCATTCATTCATTGATTCATTCATCCATTCCATAGTGGAATAAGCCGCTAACTATTCAGGCATATTTTTTTTTTTATTTTTTATGCAGAGGTCCTTTTAGCCGCAATATTGCTGATCAAGAATGACAGTTGTTTAAAAAAGCTATTCTGCTGTTGTTTTTGACAGAAAGAAAGAACCAAAGAAAGAACCAAAGAAAGAACAAAAGAAAGAAAGAAAGAAAGAAAGAAAGAAAGATAACTTTTTCCAAAAGAGTAATTTTGTAGAGCTGACTAGTGTGGTTTTCTAAATTACTTAAGTGTTGTGGAAATCAATGGTGAAATCTACGCATCATGAAACATTTAGTCGGAAAACTGCCCCTCCAAACAAATCTGGTGAGACAGTCCTCAGGAGGCTCCAAAAGTAACCGATGAACAGCAGGAGGTAATGAACCAGAGGGTCGTTCAGCTGTCTCAAAAGACAACTAAGCCCATCAAAAAAGCTCTCACAACAGCTGCCCATCTCCATTTCCAATAATCAAACCAAACGATTTGGATGTTCTCCGAGGATTAGAAAGCCTTGGAGGGCTTTGTTTTGGCAGATATGGCAATGCAGAGGCATACAAGTCTACAGGCATATTCTCTCCTCATTACTGATAATGATAGTTCTGAATTCAGTTCAGTAGAGGATGCTGTGTATGTACAAAATATTTAGTTAATATTCCAATAAATATGCCAACAACAACTACAACAAAAGATACAAATACTAATTTCTGCACCATGGTTCCAGATCTTAGACATATCATATTGTAATTTAAAAAACTTTGTTACACTAAAATCCATCTAACAACCAGTGTTGGGGATAGTTCCTTTAGAAAGTAATGCATTACAATTTTGAGTAATACCCCAAAATGTAACTACTGTAGTTGTGTTACTAAGTTACTTTTTATGGAAAGTAATATGTCACATTACTTTTGAGTTACTTTTCATACCTGCCTGAGGCTTGAACTCTTTCAGAACTTTCAGTGTATTTTATTAAATAGAAGAGCTCCGTATTTAACAACACACTGTATACTGTAATTTGTGTAACCTACACCTTCATTTTACATAAAAAAATAATTGAATAATGTTACCTTCTGAGAACATCCTGACCCTTCACATGCCTTACATACAGAATAGTTAAATTTGAAAGTAATGTGTATGCTATTTTGTATTTTTGTCTCATTAGTTCAGTAAAAATCACTGTCCATTAAGACAATCCCTTTTCGTTCAGAAATAATTAGAATAGTTCCATCACAGAAATATAAGGCTCGGATGAACAACATCCACCATTTTGTCATGATCTTGACTTACCAGCATTAGTTGCATCGCTTCACTCATGAATTCATGAATTCTCTCATGGCGCATTGTGGGATAGCATAGCATGCACACTTCAGAATCTCGCCAGAAGTATTAGTATAAGTAGTAGGTCATCAGAGTACTTCTCACATACTGATTTTCGAATTCTATGAATTCGGACATACTACTTGACTCTGTTTTTAGCGTACTATATATGGAAGTATGCAGGTTCAGACACATCCATGAGCTGCGTCTCAAATGGCACACTATACACTATTTACTCATGCACTATGTATTTATGCACTTACACACTCAACAGCATAGTATATGTATGTACTGTTGTCCCAAATGGCACATTAATGTTTTTCTTAATTCGCACCGTTTTCCTGAGGACGTGTGTCAGTTGCCAAATCAGTGAAATAAATGACCAAACTATATAATAATAACTGCCATGAGTACGACCGCATTTACCATCGGGAGGCACTATAATTACTCAGGTATGAGAATTTTGCTTTTACAATCCAAAATAAATGAAGTTGTCCAACATGAGTGCCCAATAGCTCCGCCCTTCCGCTACATGAGCAAAACTGCGGTCGTTGAGTGCGTGAAGTGTCCATCATTACAGTGCACTTTCATTACAGTCAATAAAGTGCACTTATTATTTTTAGAGTTTTCAGTGTGAACGCACTACTTACAATAATTATACTCTAAAATAGCGTAGAATAGTACATGTATGCACATGTAATTGCATAAGTATGCAATTTGGGACGCAGCTATGGTTTCTGTATGTTCCTGCAGGGAGCTCATCCTTACACTGAGTGGGATTCAACGTGACTACACTCATTTTTAATTCAGCAAGTTATTTTTTTAAAGTGAATTAATTAATCTAAAAAGTAACAAATATTATCAGTTTATTTTTTATGTAATGCGTTACTTGTTACTTATAAAAGCTTTTTATTAATATGTTTCAGATTTTTAAAATCAATTTCATTAATTCCGACTTTCACTGATTTTACTTATTTTTTTTCAGCATCAGTAAAAGTAGAATATGCAAGCCAGCTTATTTACAAAATGGAATAGATGTATTTATGAAAAAAGAAAAACAGTAGTTATTTTGCATGTACTTAATGCTAAGCAGATTGTTGTTTTTCTTTTGGTAATTTGTTATTTTATAAAAGTTACAGAATATATAACTATATATAACTATATTTTTAAGGTAATGATTTTAAAAGGAGTTTGCATGTTCTCCACGTGTTCATGTGGGTTTCTTCCAGGTGCTTCGGTTTCCCCCACAGTCCAAAGATATGAGCAATAGGTGAATTGGGTAAGCTAAACTTGTCTGTGGTGTATATGTGTGAATGAGAGTGTATGGATGTTTCCCAGTGACGGGTTGCAGCTGGAAGGGCATCTGCTGCGTAAAACATATGCTGGCTAAGTTGGCGGTTCATTCCACTGTGGTGACACCTAATTAATAAAGGGACTAATGCAAAAAGAAATTGTATGAATAAATAATTTTAGAAACGGACAACAGTCAGTCAAAGCTTAGTTTTAAAATCTCAATAGAAGCTTTGAATGTAAATATGATGCAATTTAAATTTCCATTCTATTTGGTAAAGTTTAATACAGTACGTTTGCTCATAATTACCACTATATCTAGTAGCTATAATATTATAATGTGGGTATGATATTTCCCTGTTAAAGTTAATAAGCATAAGTTTATAAGCTTTATAGTATAGCTTATAGTATAAGCATGTCTTAAGCAAAAAAAAAAATAAAAATAAACACTCCCAACAGCGTGACTAGTTTACAGGCGCTGAAATTTTTTAATTTACTGTTTGAATATTTGAATATTCTAGAAGGTTGCTGGTTTGAGTGCCAGCTGGACCAGTTGGCATTTCTGTGTGGAGTTTGCATGTTCTCCCAGTGTTCGTGTGCGTTTTAGGTAAATTGAATAAACTTAATTGGCTGTAGTGTATGAGTGTGTGTGTGTGTGTGTGTGTGTGTGTGTGTGTGTGTGTGTGTGTGTGTGTGTGTGTGTGTGTGTGTGTGTGTGTGTGAATGAGTGTATGGATGTTTCCAGGTGCTGGGTTGCTGCTGGAAGGACATCCGCTGTATAAAACATATGCTGGATAAGTTGGCGGTTCATTCTACCGTTGCGACCTCTAATAAATAAAGGGACTAAGCCGACAGAAAATGAATGAATGAATGTTTGATGCAAACTGGGTCAATTCCAGCAAAGACTTCTTTCTTGGAAGCACTCAGCCTGATAGCCTGTAAATAAAACTTTATTTACTGATGAGCTGATAAAATCTAATGTGTCTAGACTCCCAAAGGAAGCATAATAATAATCACCCAATGAAATGAAAACACACTTGTTACACCCTCTTGCCATTTTTATTTTCAGTTTGTTTATAACCCATGTGTGTGCCATCCGAGGCTAGAGACCATTGGAAAAGACTATGAAAAACCATTTATGAAGGTCCTCTTACCCTCAAGTGGGTCCCTTGTCAGGCCAAGTTGGCTGATAATGTATCGTGGGATGTCTGTCTTGATGCCTTGGCCCTCTTTGGCATGACCCTCTGCAGCCTCCAGGAGATGATAGAACTCTTCTGGGTCAAACTCCTACAAGAGGAAAAGCACACTGTTAATGCAAGACTCAAACTAGGCTGCACCATAGATTTTCATTTCTTGTATAATTTAACGCTTATGCATCGGTTTAGAAAAAGTTTTTCATAAATTTTCAGAATTGTAATCCTTAAATGTTACTTTGTTTAAAGAATGGCAGCTTGATATGCAGCCAATTGCTCACTGTGTTATATGCAGAGGGACTTTTCATTCTCAGTAACCCAGTTAAAGCACTTACGGTGAATTGCATGCTGTTGTAAAATTGACACATTTAAAGTCTGTTTTTTTTTCAAAATAGTCACTGCCTAATTGATATATGATATAAAGTGGGCCTCAGAATGTACAATAAGCGCTGCATTTATTTATTTTTTCCAAGCGTGTTTTTAAAATATCAAAATTTATCTTACTCTAGTAATTTCAATGGAGTTAAATTAATGCTTGTCTATTTAACTGATTAAATTTCTAATCACATTACAACACCAATGCTGTGAAAGGAACAGTTTGAAATCGAACAATAATGTAATGTATTTTTTTTATTTAATGTCATGTCAGCAACCAAGGCTATTTTCATGGCAAAAACATTTCAATAATAAATGTACAATAAAAAATCAAATAAACGAATACATAAATTAAATAATTTTCCAGGTGTCACTTTGCTTAATTAAGTCTTCTGAAAACATTAAAAGTAGAACAGTCAATTAAAATGTGTTTCACTGTGAGAGGAATTGTGCAGTATAAACATTGAAAGGAGTTTTTTGCCTTTGAGCATAAAAACATATTCTTGTATGTGCAATATGACAAATTACTTAGTGTCTTAAAATTCTGTATGAGATTTCAGGTTGTATTTCATACAGTTTATTATTTTTCAATGAATCCCACTCATTGTTACATTAAGTGTTCACCGGAAGTTTATTGTCAGAGGAAAAACACTAGCTGTGCATATACACTATTTTAGAGCTTTGTCTGTTATGAAATGTCATGGATGTGAGAACAATTGTGCTAACCTAGTGTGCTAATCTAGATATCAAAAGTTTTTCAGAGGTTTCTGAAATTCTACCACAAAATCAAGCTAATTTTATCTCTGTACAAAAACAACAACCAATTGAAAAAAAGGTTTCTTTTTTATAAAGTGTTTGAATAAAGAATTAAAAAACCACATTCAAAGCCAGTAATCTTTGACCTTATTCATAATTTATACAGGGTTCAATGACCCTGCCAAGAACGTGACTCCGGTTCCGTTTTTTTGTTCTTTTTCATTAACTATAATAACCTTGGTTAGGAGACCCTTTTATTTCAATGTAAACTGAATCAAAATGAAAACAGTGACGACATAACCATCATACAAACCTAACCAAACTGTCCCAATGCTAATATATAAAATGAAATGTACAAAAATGTCCATTAGGTCTCATTTTGTCATACTGGGGTCCGTTCTTCGTACCTCGCTTAAATGATCTGAGATTATTTGGCAGATCCTGGATCTTTTAATCTTGATAACTGATCTCTCGCTAATTTGGTTCTTCAAACAAGTTTGCAAATCAGATTAGAATGTCTGGATGAACTGATCTGAGATCGCTGCGTGTGTTATGAAGGACAGATCTATCGATCCTCGAAATCATGATCAGCAATGCAACGATTGGCTGACGGCACAGCAGCGTAATGACATCATCTGATTAATATTCAATTATCCATGTGAGCAAAATTACATCAAATTAGCAGTAAACGGCTTGTTAAATATGACACGCAAGAACTTTCCACATTTGTTGTGAGCTGCAGGCTTTACACTTTCATTTGTCAAGACAAGAGTATTCATCATGTATTTCAATGCAAATCAATGTATATAGTTCTACATTTAGAAAAGATTTTCTTTATTATTGTAGCCAGTTTTTTAATCGGTGTAAAGAATAACTGGTTGTTTACAAAAGCATTTTGATATTGGTAAAGGCGTCTGCAACTTTTGTGAAGCTTCAAATCACTATTAACAATCAAAACATGTTTATGACTGCTGACATGTATTATTGCTTTAAAAAAAGTCACATATTGTGCATTTCTATTATACACAATTTGTACTAAAGCGATCTAAAAAGTTAATAACAATAAGTTTTCTCTTTGCACCAGATGGCAGTCTTTGTATTTTCATTTCGAGGGTGCAGATTGCATACGTTTTATTAATATGTATAACTTTATTTATTTTATTAATGACTATAACTTTATATATATAGTTAAAAAATATGTACCATTTTCCCAAGTGTATATAACTACTACTGTAAGAAAATATCAGAATTCGGAACATACTTTCTGTATTATCTTTGCTTGAACTGAGCCGATCTAATCCTGTTTATATGAATTGAACCTGCTCCCAATCAGGTTTGACCTAGCAGAACTGTTGCCATGACAACAACTCTTGGATCAGCTTTGAAGAACGAAACGATCCTGGATCGTGTCAAATCGTCAATATCCAAATCCAGCTAACTGAGTAATCCACGTACGAAGAACGGACCCCTGATCTGACAACGGACAGAAGCAAAAACACAACCTACCAAACATTCAAGCAGTCGCGCAGGCCTGGCGATGACAATGAGAATCTTCTTCACTAGCTCCTTAATGAAGGTCACCTCTGCACTCTCCGATCGCTCAGTCGACTGCATTACAATGACAGAACACATCAGAAGTGGCCATCTAAACGCATGCATCAATAAAACCAATGATCAGAGACTTGAGATAAAAGTATACACATGGGGAAACGTGTTTTAAAAACAGAAAGCTAGTTTCAGCTCAAAAGAATCAAGAAAGCGCCGTCCCTGGAGGTATCATTTACCTCATGAAAGAGCCTTTCCAGTTTATCTGTGAGCTCACAAAAGTAACGTGAGGTAATGAGGCCAAGGCGGGACTTTTCCAGGCAGTCTCTGGCCAGTTCAATGATCTGATGGTGTGCGAAGCTGAGGACACCATCAGCCAGAGGCAAGACGTTCTCAGGGGAGTTGCTTTGAATGATCTCCTTGATGCGCTCCTCCATCTGAGCTGTGGCCTGAAGGGTGGAAAAAACAAACCCACAATGAATTCCCCTTTAAATATGCAATCACTTGACACCGAGGAGGATTGGTGAACACTCACCTTGGGAAATCTTTCTTTGTACACATGGTTCATCATGATAATCTCATGGTCACAGCATGATGGGGATCTTCCAGGACTGTCAATGACATTTAAAAAAAATACATTTTCAGTATACTTTCAAGTTAAAATAAGGTAACGATTTACATGAAGGAGTGTTCGTAAGTTTGTCATGTAAACTTTAGAATCATGACATGACATGTTATAAACAAAAACGGGATTTTATACATGTTTACGGTGACTTTTGAGTTGCTCAGTTGGTATTTTAAATGCTACTATGGTTTGAGAACTTGACATTACAAAAGCAACATACACTCGCTGGCCACTTTATTAGGTACCCCTTGCCTTAATCTTTCATGGCATAGATTCAACAAGGTACTGGAAATATTCCTCAGAGATTTTGGTATATATTTACATGATATAATCACGCTGTTGCAACAGATTTGTCGGCTGCATATCCATGATGCTAATGTTCAGTTCCATCACATCCCAAAAGTGCTCTATTGGATTGAGGATCTGGTGACTGTGGAGGCCATTTGAGTACAGTGAACTCATTGTCATGTTCAAGAAACCAGTCTGAGATGATTCACACTTGGCATGGCAATGATATGGTTCGTTATCCTGCTGGAAGTAGCTTTTAGAAGACGGGTGCACTGTGATCATAAAGGGATGGACATGGTCAGAAACAATACTCAGGTAGGCTGTGGCGTTGACACAATTCTCAATTGGTACTAGTGGGCCCAAAGAGTGCCAAAAAAATATCCACCATTACATCACCAGCCTGAACCATTAATGGATGGATCCATGTTTTTATTTTGTTGATACCAATTCTGACCCTACCATCCAAATGTCACAGCAGAAATCAAGACTCATCAGACCAGGCAAGATTTTTTTCAATATTCTATTGTCCCATTTTGGTGAGCCTGTGCGAATTGCAGCCTCAGTTTCTTGTTCTAAGCTGACAGGATTGCACCCGGTGTGGTCTTCTGCTATTGTAGCCCATCTGCCTCAAGGTTGGACGTGTTGTGCATTCAGAGATGTTCTTCTGCATATTCCGGTTGTAACGAGTGGTTATTTGAGTTACTGTTGCCTTTCTATTAGTTTGGCCATTCTCCTCACCCCTGGCATCAACAAGGCATTTGTGCCCACAGAACTGCCACTCACTGGATTTTTTCTCTTTTTCGAACCATTCTCTGTACATCCTAAAGATGGTTGTGTGTGAAAATCACAGTAGATCAGCAACTGCTAAATTACTCAGACCAGCCTGTCTGACATCAACAACCATGCCACGTTTAAAGTCACTTAAATTACCTTTCTTACCCATTCTGATGCTCGATTTAAACAGCAGCAGATCATCTTGACCATGTCTACATGCCTAAATGCATTGAGCAAGTAATTGGACAAAGTGGCCGGTTAGTGTAACTTTTCATAAAGCTGTCATTGTCATGAATACCCCAACTACAATAGTGCAGATTTTGAATGCTAAATATAAATGATGCTCTTTTATATGATTATGTTATTAGTGAATTAGTCAATTAGTGAATTGTTCCACTGGAAAAAAAAGTGATTAGAAAAATATTTAGGACGATTATAATAGCCTCATGTAATAGCCTCTATCTTCTTCAAAGATAGTTGTAAAAAAATACGCTTATATACTTTAGTATGGTTCAAAACCTTCTTACTATAAATTACAATTGAAATTTTAAGTTTAATTACTGGTGTGTAGGACCGGTGGAGGGCTTTAAAAAAGTAGAAATATATGTAATCAACGCCTAATCTCTCACTATACACTTTACTAACCCATGAGGGTGTTTAAACTTTTGAATCAGAATTCCAAGCTGTCACGTGAGTATAGGGCGAAAATTAAGCTTCGGACATCACTGATCAAGTAATGATGGCAAAACAAATCAAGCTCCGGTACACTGCTTCATTGTGAAATGTATGTTTTTTTTGGAACATGCTTCGAAACCTCGGCGCACAACGTCACTACCAAAAATATGTATGTTTAATGTCATTTCTTTTCATTGGAAAGATGGTAAAATTACAAAAAATAAACAAGCATATGCATTAGCTTTTCAATTAGCATTAGAATTGAATTTGCATTAAATATCCTTTGAGATGCATATTTACAGAGCAGTTTGTATGAAAAATTAGATGTAGGAAGTTAACAGATCAGAAAAAAAGCACTCTGTTTTCTGTACCTGAGACTGCGAGACCGTGGCCGCATAGGAGTGACTCTTCTGTGGTCATCTCCAGAAATGCTCTCTGTGTAGAAATGCTTGGACAGGAAGTGCAGCTCATCTGGTGTGGGCTGGAAAGGCAGCTGATGGAGCTTCTCCTGTGATGAACAGGACGACTGGAAATGAAACGAAAATACATTGAAAAAGAAAAGAAAAGAAGAGAAATGAAATGGAATGAAAACACGAGAACAATGACTATTGATGTGTTTAATTACACATCACGTGATGATAATGCGGATGATGGATTAAAATTAAAATGCAGCAATGGAGGTTTATTGTTTTCCTGCTTCTTAAAGATGATGTGATCCTACAATGGTGTAGGGCAGAAAAAAAAACGCTGTCAATATGCATTTAGGTCGAGATACGAAGTAGTTAATTCATTTTAATCCAAAATTAACTTTCTGATGTTCTTTTTAAACTATACCGAGAAGCTCCATCTATAGTCAACACTAGTCGAAAATCTTGTTAATCGTAATTGACCTAAAACTATGGTTCTTTATGAGTGAATTTAACTTTGAGTTCTCAATTGTTTTAAAAAGAACTTTAAACTATTATTTTATTTTTCTTAAAAAAATTTTAATTAATTGAATTTTAATTAATTTAATACATTATTGAATAAAGAATATTTTAATCACTCAATCAATCAATATCAACTCTAAATCTCTTTGCATAGTTTTTTTTTTTGCTTTCAGTGTGAACACCAAAACGGTTCTCTATACTGAACATTGGATGGCTGTTGCGCCAGCATTAGACCATTTGCCATTTCCTGTAAGGATGGTCAGCTGCAGCAACTGTGGCACTAAACACAACAACAACAACCAGAGTGAGTGAGTGGGTCGGCAGTCTGGCATAGATTCAGGAACATATTTACCAGCAAACAAATTTGGCACTGCCCGAAATCAGACTGGGGGATAGTCATGGCAGCATCTGTTGCCTGTGGCAAACAGTATCAGCCAAGAATCAGTTCAGCTGTGTGCATATAGTGCACAGGGACAGTTCAAACATACAGTATACAGCAATGAAGCTTACAGCATACAAAAAAAAAAAAAACAATTAATCTTGGTGGTGCTTATCATATACAACAAACTGTATACAGCTTTAGATATACAGTAATTTGAGATCTAACAGCAGCTTTGTACAAAGTGACCTTATTTGTGTTCCTAAGTCTAAAGCCTTTCAGTTTTATACAACAGCTAGACAAGCCTGTCACACTCTATTCTGTTAGAATAACCACCTACAGTTGATGTACATTCTTTACTTATGCATTACATCAGTGGTTCCCAACCTTCGTTTAACTCATGTCTTAAACAACAAAACATTTGTTTCTGCTGAACCAGCTACTTGTGGCAGGTTGATCACTGACTTGAATATGCGAATGATTGTCAACCTACCAGTGATTTAACAGTTAGACAGATTTTGATAGAATCTGACCAGAAATCATAACGCTTGAAATGCGTACAAAATTATTCCATCACCTTTTCAAGTGAAAGGACCTTAATAACGTATTCTTGTTGCTACTGTAGGTTAGATACATACCAATTTATTTGCCTTTTTTAAATTTATTTTTACATGCATACAGTACATTCCCCCATTTTGTGTGTGGGAGTTCTGTGGATAATTTGAAGCACCCACAACCAGCACAAACACAAGTATCTTAATGCCTGCACTAGCATTCAACTATCAAATCTTTTCTCGGTTGCACCAGGTTCTGTGAGTGCAGGTTTCTAGATCAGACAAGCATTTAAAACTGGCAGAGAATTTTGAGCACTAGACTTGTTGACAACATGTTTTAAACCAATAGATTATTAAATTATACATATTATTATGCCAAGAATTGATTACAAACATTATTAATGTTATTTAAAAAAAAATAAAAAATAGATGGAAACCCCAAGCTTTACCGTCTAGTCCACTGGACCACAGGTTGAAAAACACTGCTTTATAATGTTCTCGACTGGGGGCCTTAAAGTACAAATGAAATCTAAACTAACCAAATGCTTTTGTTAGCCTACATTGCTAGTTTTTTTTGTGAAAAATTTATCTGTTTATGTCATTAAGAAAAGAAGAAGAAAAAAAAAAAAACAATCGTGTGCACTTGTAAGCTAAAATTTAAATCTGAAAATGCACTTCCTGTTTGTTTTAGTTTAATTCTCAGATTATGTCTCTCTGAGGTATTTAATTATGTAACACTTGATTAACCACACCCTTCCAACTGTCAGTTTTGACCACAAACAGAAAACGTGAGGAGGAGGAGGAGGAGTCTGTTGTAAAAACTCTCCCGAACCCCTTTCCCCAAACATTCTGAACGAAATACCTACTTTCACACATCCAATTAACTTGTAGTAGAAAAAAATAGCCTCATCTACTGTTTTCTCATTTAATATTTTTATTTCTCTAGGAACTGCGTTTTACTTTATAAATTAAAGGCGGAATTTATTAGCTCTCCTAAGATTTGTAATTCTTTAGTAATTTACAAAAAAATATATATTTTTACATTAAAAAAATCTAGTTTTAATCGTATATGTCTAATAACCAACTAATTTTGTCTATGACACCATAAAACAACATAAAAGAGTGGAGGAACTATGACGTCAATTTGTACACAAAAATCTGAATGCGACTTAGCATTTTAGCAGTTCCGGTTCCCTCTTCCCAAAGTCAATGGATTTTTTGAATAGGATTTTGGTTAAATCATTTAAATAAGGTTCGTGGCTACAAAACACTCAAGATACTTTCACTTTTAATTCCACAACATACAAAACATCAGTTACACCCACTCTTGATTTTTTAAATCATGGTTGCTAGCAAGCTGCTAAATTTGACTATGGGCGATGTAGGAGACTGATCTCAGCAATGCAAATGTATTACATTTATAAAAGTATGAACATATTTACTGATATTTTAACGTGGGCATTTCAAATATAAATAAATCTAATGATTTTTTTTGTCGCTTTTCACTGTACTTGACAAAAAAGAATATTGAATGTTGTTCTTTATCCACAATGAGACTTGCAGGCATTTGATAGACCTGTCAATTAGACAAGCCTCAATTCTTTCTGTTATCTATGAAAAAGAATATGGGATTTGTAATTGACAGCTGTAGGGTTTTCACTAAGGTAAGTGGGCTGTGCTCTTTTTTAAAGGCCTTATGATAATAATATGAAGGCACATTTATACATGTTTTAAAACTATTACAACAAATATAATGCAAAATCAAATATATTTCCAACGGGAAAACTGTCCAAAAAGTCACGTAGGTCTATATACAAATGTGTTTTTACGTACAGTTGAAGTCAGAATTATTAGAATATAATAATTATAAAAATATTATAATATTTTTAAATATTTCCCAAACAATGTTTAACAGAGCAAGGACATTTTCCCAGTATGTCTGACAATCTTTTTCTTCTGGATAAAGTCTTGTTTGATTTATTTCAGCTAGAATAGAAGTTGTTTTAATTTTTTAAAACCATTTTAAGGTTAAAAATATAAGCCTCTTTAAGCAGAACAAACCATCATTATACAATAACTTGTCCAATTACCCTAACCTGCCTAGTTAACCCAATTAGTGTCTAAAAATATCTAGCAAAGTATTTTTTTACTGTCATCGTGGCAAAGATAAAAGAAATCAGTTATTAGAAAAGAGTTATTAAAACTATTATATTTAGAAATGTGCTGAAACAAATGTGTTGAAAGGGGAGGGGGGTAACAAGCGAGCGACCTGAAGTCAGTGTAGTCCGTTCATAGCCCAATATTAGCTTTTCAGTTCTTGCGTTAGCATTTAGGATCCAAAAATGATAAAAGTTAGATTATCCTGTGAGGTTTATTCCAGTTGAATAAAACATGTAAGTGTAATAAACTGAGTTTGAACATAGTGCTTATTGTTAGCAATCTTCGAAAAGCTTAAACTAAAAATACTATAGGGCTTTTAGCGAGGGAACCAGTTTATGCTAACAGCCGATTGGCGTCACAGTTCTTCCTCTATATTTTGTATTATATTGCAAGATTAAAAAGATCCTTCAAAAAGTTTATCCAAAAATAAAAATTCTTTAATTTTTTACTGACCCTTTGGTATTGTCAAATTTTTTATGAATTTCTTTCTTGTTAAACACAAAAGAGTATATTTTGAGCAAAATTGTTGTAACCACCTGTAACCATTGACTTTCATAATATGTGTTTCTCCTACTATGGAAGTCATAGGTTACACTTTAACTAATCAAAAGAAAGAAACTCAAATGTTTGATACCACTCGTGGAAGATAGGGGGCTAATTTAAAGGCTTAACTAGGTTATTTAGGGTAACTAGCCAATCATTTTGCCCTTAACTAATAGGGCCCTATCATACACCTGGTGCAATGTGGCGCAAGGCGCAAAGGAATTTGCGCTCATATGTGCGCCCATAGGTGTTCTGGTTTAAAAAAGAAGGGGTGTTTTGGCACGTTGCTATTTTGAGAAACTGTAAATAGTCTGTTCTCTAGACCAGAACAAAGTCGGTCTGTTGTCTGGCGCAAAGTGCCATTACGCAAATATCTTTACATATACAAAAGATATGATATGTTAAGGATATATATAATAAGGATATATATATGATATAAATATAAATGATTAAAATATTACAAAACATATTTTAATAACATATTATAAATTTCTAGCCTACATGAATTTAAAAACCACTGCCTTCATACTTTCTTCATCTCGGGAGGCTTCTATTAGTTCATTCAATTTGCTTTTGTATAATGTTATTATTATTAGCAGCAGTATTTATTATATCCATATTTATATTTGTTTTATTAAAAACAAGCTTAGATTTGTCCACCTGTCAGGTTTTAGACCATATGGGGCATGGCAGGTGTATTTGGAAATAACTCAGTATTTTGACCACACTTTGTTATTATTGTTTATTTATTCGTTTGCTGGAAATTAAAACTGAATTTAGAAATAGTTTTGAAATAAATCTTTGCGCTTAACAAACAGAATTAAATATTTATAGGCTAATTGATGTTTGTGCTGTAAGGTTTCCCTATCCACGAGAGCAAAAGCGAAAGTGAACTTACTTTACGTTAAAAGTAAAAGTTCCCGTCCTTAAATTAGCAAAAATGCGTTCTGACACGGCCTGAAAGCGTTTGTGCCCTGCGTTTTGCGCTCTGCGCATGGACCGTCAAATAGAGCCCATAGAGAACAAAAAAGTATGCCTGGGCTTTAGGGGTGCATTCATACTAAGAGTGATTTATTGGCTTGATACCAACTTTTTATTCTTTATATGTTTGCTTTTGCTTGCAGGTTGGTCTTCTAGATTTTCTTATGGTGGAAACGTGTATGCACACTTAACCAATACAGTATGAAAAACATGGAGTACTTACAGAGACTGTAGAGCTGGGTGTGTTTGTTCCATAGCCAGAAGAGGGAAGAGATGCCAAGGACCAGCGTCGCCCATCAGTTCTACAAACGCAGAAAACTCTTAGTCCATATACCTTTAAATAGTTATTGCCACTGTTTAGAATCATCATCTGCAAACTGTATATACTAGATTGCATTCCATTGGCTCAAAGACATGAGAAGCAAGTGGTACACTAGATAAAAAGAAAATGCTGAGTTTGTCATTCATTTTCAGAGTAGAGCAGATGAAAGACAGTGGCAGTGTAACCCATGAGCTGGGGCTGCTATCTTTTGGAGCAGTGCGCTGTGAGCCATTTCTTCTGGCTGACTGAATAATCTAATGATAATCACAGGAAGACAAATGCCACAAACACAGGGAGGAGAGTTGCATGTGCCGAATACATACAGAAAATGCCCAAAAATGGTTGTGCAGACACTTGATGTCAATATCATGTCAAGTGAGGTTGCGATGCACTATGGTTGAATTCTGAGAAATATGTACAAGTATAACAGAGTGAATCTCATGAATCTTACGTCCAGGTCTCATCTCACAACAACAATCGCAAGAATGATAAACTCTGTTCATTTACAAATCATATGGAAAAAAATATTTAGTCTTTTTTTATTGTGGCAGTTTTTTCATTCCACACAGTCTCAAAAAGCTTTAGTGTGTTTGTGTGTTTTAATAAGGTGAAACTTATTTGACTACCATTACTATATACATTTTTTGCGTGTTTTTTTGTATTCCTTATGATAGTTACTTGTTTTTTTTCTTTGGTTACAAATATAAAAAAAAAAAAAGTCCTACTAAAAGCTGCACAGACCAGATTATCAAACAACTTGTTTTTAAATTAGTTAAAAAAATATTGTATTATCATTCTTTCAAAATTAATTTAATGTGTTTTTTTACACTTTATGACAGTTTATTTTCTTTATTTAATAATAATACTATAAATAAATGAATAAAAATAAAGTCCTATCTAAAGCTGCACGGACTAGATTACGGAACATTTTTATTTTTAAATGAGTGAAAAAAGATCTGAACACATTTCTGTCAGGTATCATGAGATTCTCTTAATAAACTTTCATTTACCTGTCTGCTCTTAGTCCATGACTTGGTGATCAAAAATGATAAGAAAAAGCGTAAATACATATGTATAAATAAAATAAATAAACAAATAAATAAAAAAAACAAAGGCAAAATTTTTTTTTTATAATTTTAAAATAAAAGACCTATTTTTTTTTTCTCTCATTCAGGCCTGTCTGCTCGAACACAGTTTGATGTGACAGGTTAAAATCTGAACTTTCGAACCATGGTTTTAAATTTGTTCTCATCTAAAACTGTAGAAAGCCTGTCAGCTCGTGAGGTTTTCAAAAGCAGAAACCAAAGCTTTCATCAGGCACAAACTTCTCTCATCAAAGAATATATTTTACTGTATCACTGAACTGATATGCTGATCTTCCAGACAGATCTGGACCACAATTCTAATAATACAGCTGCTTTTTATTTCTAAGATTTTGAAGTTTCCATGCAGTCTGGTTATCTCATCCTTTTCATTGCCTGGTTCTCATATCACAATACCACTGAAGGGTATTGTGGGTGCTTACCAAGTAAAATGAGCCAAACTCAAAACACAATCTATAATCTTGTCCATAGAATAGTTTTGGCTACTTGGGTAAAAATAGTTGCTCTGTAATATAGAAAACTTCTCTTCAGATATGTGCTATAGACCATTTCAATGTGTTACTCTCATTGACCAATGAACATGTCCTGCTTGTTATCATACCATTTTAAAACTGTAACAAGATGAAATTTAATAATATATTAATGTTAAAACATCTGTCATAACATTATTTATCAATATGTTGCTCTTTTTTGGTTCTCAGAAGCTATGGAAATTAAATATTAAAAACAGGAAAATACATTAGGACCATTGCTATTGTTGACATCCCTCAAAATGGTTTATAATATAGATTTCATTAATGTTTGTGTTAGTGTGCTTACCTGCGTGTGAAGGAAAAATGTGCTGAAGCACTAGGGGAGAAGTTTCTAGGGCTGTCTTGTGGACTGGTGCCTGAAAAAGAAATATGATATTCTTATCTTCTTTATTTTATTGATTTATTTATTTACTATGCCAACAATATGCTGAGCATTAAAGGTTTATGTTCTAATAAACTTACTAACATTCACCATTTGCAAGTCAACAGTATCATCATTCTTCACAAAAAGGATATGGAACACAGTACTTCCAACAGGTTTCAAATATATTTGCAGTGGTAGCTGGATGGAAACACTCCTTTTACTCACAGCACATAAATGATTAACTACATGTGACTAACAAATATATATATATATATATATATATTTAAATATTTTTTTTTATTTATTATACCACTTTTATCCACTACTTCTAAAAAAAAGAGAGTGTTGAAAAAAAAAAAAAAAAGAAATCCACTGTGTGCTATTCAGAAGTCATGTGCACCCACTGGTAAAATCTGCTGCTGACACTTATATGTATAAAATACGTAATATCTTTACATAAAACTAATACAATATACAGCAAATGAGAAATATATAACATAAAAAGTAAAAAAGGCAATCTCTATAAATTATATTAATTACAAGAATAAAAAAAGAGATTATTTAAAGGTAAAGTAGGCGATTGTCTTCAAAAACATTTGCTGTTGTGCTGATCAAAAGTCTCTTCACATTCAAATAGTATTGACTAAAGTAAATGATTTAAATCTATTTATATGTATTTTTACACTATGTTTAAGGTATAAGGCAAAAAAAACAAAAAAACATCCAATTAAAATTTGTCAGGCCGACAATTGCCATAATTCTGATAAGTAGCTCAAACTGTCTGTCAACAAATGTAGATTTATACATCTGTGCAGCCGTTCATACACATCCATTTCTGCGTACATGCACTGCATTCACAACAGGCACATGAGAAAGAGTGACCGGTAAATGCTCTAAGTTTTAAAATCCTGAATCAATATTGGAGTTACTTTTGCATGCTGGAGGAAAGATGACCCCATGGTGGAAATATTTCTTTTAGAGAGGTAATGTTTTGATTTAAAACTATCTTAGTCATGTAAAGCTTATGTAGATTTTGTTGTTAGAAATGGGTTATTTGCACAGAAGTGTTGTTCAGCCAATAAAATCTTCTGGCAAAAGATTGATTTGACTATTTTCAATTTCATAAGGGACCTTTTACAGCATCTATACTGTAGATTTTTATTAAGTAAATCGCGCTATTCCGCCTAGCCTGCTTTACTGAGGTGAAGTTGCTTCTACATTCACATTGGTTCATTTTCGAATAACAACAGCTTGTTACGTGCTCCCTATATAGTTCACTGTGCTACTTTGAATATTCGGTCTAAAATAGCATGTAAGCATGGCTTAGTAATTAGTGCAATTCCTGCATGCCGTCTGCATGCTAAGCATAAAGTAGTCGCTTTAGGACAAAGCACATGAAAAAGTGAGACCATCAATCCTTGCATGCATGAAATATTGCACATTTTGACAAGCTTTGATTGCTTTGGATTTGATTGTTGGAATTGTAGTATTATAAAGTACTATAAAGTTTTCTAACTGGCTAATAACATGAACTTTAAGGTGCACATTCATGATATCAGGAGGCATAGCTTTGGACGGCAGGGGTGGGAATTTGTTTCAAAGATATTATGCCAACCGTTTAGGATTGTGGCAGATCACCCACTGCACCTTTAAATAAGGTAAATGAGTTAATTAACTATTTCTAATGGTGTACAAATGTTTTGAAGACAGTTTAGATGTAATTTCTCTTCAAGTATATAGTCAAGTTTTTCATTTAGATTAAAAAATGAATTACTTAATGTTTATCTCACTCTCTGAGCAAAAGTAGGCTTAAATAAAAGGCAAAACGAAAGCGAATAACGACAACTTTAGAAAGCAAAAGAAAAAGTTGACTCCCGGATAGGCTCATTTATGTGGGTATGCAGAGCATGTGAGACAGTGTGGGAATATCAACAGTTCTGGTTCACACAGAACCAGCAGTAGGAAACAGGCAAACAAAAGATGTTTGGTTGATGGACCGTTACAAAAAAAAAAAAAAAAAAAAAAAAAAAAAAGGATGAAAATAAAAAGTCACCTAATTTACTATAATATATTATACCCAGTAATCTAAGCCAATAATATACCTGCCCGCCCAAGTAAAATCAAGCACTAGAACATATTTGATAAAACTTCGGTTGGCCAACAAAATTCTTTTATCCTATTGAATTCCTGGATTATAATTAACAACTCCAAAGTATATGATTAAAACAAAAAATCAAGATTGTGATGCATCATTGACAAACAAAGAAGAACAAACAACAAAGGTTAAGTTAATCCTAAAAACAATCCAAAAAGGCCCATATGCCATTGTCACCATATGTGCGCTCTTATTAGCTGATGCGCACTGTTTCTGGGGATGGCTTTTGGCAATATTTTGGCCACAGTTAAAATTCTGGAAGATCCCAAATTATGGTCATTAAAGCCAGTGTCCCACTTCCATTGGAAGAAAAAAACAGCCTTCTGCCCTGCAATAATTACTGATAATTACCCTGATTGATAAGGCAAGGAGTTAATAGTTAATTAACACCCATATCTATGGCCCCACCGGTGTTGATAAAAACAGGCCCCTTAGCTTAACTGATGGTGGCTGCTCATTAATGGTAACTCATTTACTGATATTTCCACACAACTAACAAACACAGCCAGATGACTTGAAAAAAGAAAAATGCAAATGAGAATGGAATAATGATGCAGAATTTACATGTTATTAACAAATATGAGGTTTCAAAGGCCGATGCCATTATCCACAAAATAAGTTTTGCAGATGGCTGATACAGTGCCGAGAATACTAGACTTTAACAACATGAAATGATTCCTTTAATTAAGCAAAGAAGCAATAAAATGATAGATCACCTAAAAAGGAAATTTACTTACTATTTATTCACCCTCACATTGTTCCAAATCCTTCTTTCTTCTGTTGAACACTAAAGAATTGACCTCCATAGTAGGATAAAACAAACACTGAAAGTCATGCATGTTTGTTTTGAGACCTACAGTAGCTCAAAATTATGTTATTCCTTAGTTCTGCTCCTTTCAAATGTGACAAAGTTTTGGAGAATGGCAACGACTATATTTAAATGGACATCAGTAAACCAATTAGTGATTACTTAATGTGAATAACACAATAATATGATTAGGGCATTTACATTATTTGTTTTTTTTTATGTTTCTTTCATGATCCCGTTTTACATGTTATAGCTCATAAATCGTTTATCGTTGCGTCACCATGCTATCCACATTTCCTTGAGTTTCATGTAATTCTGAGTGGATCATTTTTAATTTGGCGACATTAACTGCAGTTTGGCACTTTCACTTTCATTCAGGAACATTTCTTGCATGCTCCATATGACAAACAAGATAATGGATGTGAGTATGAACTGTTTAGCTCACTTCGTATGTGAAAAAAAACAAAAAACTTTGCATTGCGCAATGCAGGTTTCTGTAGTCCTTCACTGACTTGGAAGATGCAGAGAATAGTGTCAAACAGCTGTGTGTGTATGGAATATCCTGTAACAAAGTGCGGTGAAAATCCTACATGATGGTAATAGTTTGATTGCAGTGTTTACATGTCTGTACTGCACTACAATTATGTGACTAAAGTTGGCATACTACAAATTTTTTAATTCAATTTCTGTTCAGATCAATTATGACCTTAATAGGATTAATCAAAAATCGCTGTTTACATGGTAGACTCTTAATTAGAGTATTGTCTTAGTCACATTAAAATATAATTATTGATCCATGCAAACGTACTCAATAATTTGTTTCTGGTAATATTCATCTTTGTTATTTAATTTGATGGATTGATGTAAATCTTAACTTAAAAGGATACATGATAAAATTAACCAAATAAGCATCTATTTTATATGTACACAAACACACATACTTATTTGTTATTTTAATATGATATAATAAAAAAGGATACAATAACTTTACCGTATGTTAAGGAGTAGTAACATTTATAACTGGTCCATTGAGGGCAGCCATATGTAGCAGTGGTCCTTGTAGTTTTTCTTAATTGCTCAAAAATTAAAACCCATTGGCTGAACTAAGTTCTTAGTTGCCTGACCTCATTTAGTTAATTGTGCAGTCTGTTGTCAATATTCTCAAACACAGGCTTCCTTTTAGTGGTACACAGAGGAATCGCTGAATAATTCTAGTAAAAAAAAAATGAACACCTCTAACCCTTTAATTAACGTAATTAACATTTAATAACAGTGATGTGATTATTAAATTGATTTACTGAGTTTACTAAATTTTGTAATGTTTATGCATTTTATCATTTGAAGCTAATTTCCTTCCTATATTTGTAATGGTTGTTTGGTGTGTATCCTGTATTTTTATATCCCAATGTTGGCAGGTATGGTTTAATCACTTTTCTGACACACAAAGCCTACACTAACGCGCAGTGAGCAGATCTAATTTCAAATTTAAATATGCAAATCCAATTTATATATTTAAAATACAAGTTTTAGATTTCAATGATTTACAACAAAGTCATATATACATGCAACATTTATTTCAAAATGCATCAAAAAGAGTTTATATAAGAATATGATATGCAATGCATAGCCAATATTTATGAGGTCCAAGGAACATTTCGTGGTTTTAATAAATGGGCTTCTTTAGAATAACACTTACATTTAAGTACAGCAGTTTTCTTTTGACTTTTTAAGAACAGTGCCCTCTTTAATCAACTTTTAAAAGCACATTTTAATTGAAACATTGACATTTTATTTATTTTTTAACTGTAAGCACAGTACAGAGTTGAACAGGTTGTTGAAGGTGGGAAGGAGAGTGTCTAAGAATGGCTAGAAGAAACAATGTGAGAGAACAAGTGCAATAGGCAGTTTATGAAATTGCCTCTCCCTCCACACTTGCCTTTCCTGAACCCAATTGAGTAGTTTTATGGAAAGTGTATGATAGACAACCCTACACAACAGTAGATGTGTTACAAGTCAGGGATTTAGCATG